CTGTGAAGATCTGGCTTAGAATTGGGCTTCAGAAATTCTATTTTTGTACCCAATAAAGATGTGGCTTAGAACTCAGGGCTTCAGCAACCTCATGTTTGTATCTCATGAAGATCTGGCTTAGAAATGGGCTTCTGCATCCTATTTTTGTACCCAATAAAGATCTAGTTTAGAACTGGGCATCAGGATCCCATTTTTGTACCTCATGAAGATCTGGCTTAGAACTGGGCTTCAGCTACCCATAATTGTACCCTGTGAAGATCTGTGGTAGAATTGGACTTCAGGAACCAGTCCTTAAACTGCATTAAGAACTGTGTTAGAATTGGTCTTCAGCAAACATTATGCTTGAACTGCAGGAAGATCCGGATCAGAACCAGTCCTTGTCATAAGAAGTTACTAACAAGATCTAGTGGTTAGACTGTCTGATTTGTTGATGCACGTCATCATATCCCAATTCGTTGATCAATAGAATATTGCTGAGTGCAGGGTTACACAACAAACAAACAAACAAACAAACATTAGTTGTCTTCCTGTTGCTGGTTGATAGATTTTGTGCTTTTCCAACTGAACAATCAGTGATATATGTAGGGTGAACTTTGCAATATATGTTCCATAACAACCTGTAATGTACAGATGACCTGTGAATATCCTGTCAAAGTGGTACATTGTGCCCCAACTGTGTAGGTCTATGCTAATGATGTCAGTTGCTGGATTGTCTGGTGGAGACTTATACAAACTGCTGGCATATTGCTGAAATATTGCTGAGTGTGTCGTTACTGAACAAAGAAACTAACATAATGTTGTGACTTGGATATAAATATCTAAAAAAATCCAGATTTGGATTCCATGTGCATCAGCCATCACAGTGTATTCTGAATAATAAGAACTCTGTGTTTCAAGGTTGGTCAGTCCACCCCTTGAATGCACAGCACGTTTTAGTGTTGAATTTATACTTGATAATGTGCACAGTATGTATTATCACAGACATGACATCCAGTGATGTCTGTCAAGGTGTTGATACATTGATTCTGACTGAGAAATATGTGCCATGCTGAACTACAAGTATGTGGGGATTCTGGGTTACAACAGATATCCTGCAACCCAACAATTGAAGGATCTTTGGCCAGGCACATTGTCTTGGTTGAGTGAAAGTCACTGTACCCCGAGGACCTGGGTAGTTACTCCTGGCATCAACCACTGATTTATTTGGTTCAGATCTGGGCCCCATTACTCAAAGTGATCGTAGCGCTACGACAGTCGTAAGTCTATGTTAAAGTATGGGAGTTACGATCACCTTAGCCCTACGATCGCTTTGAGGAACAGGGCCCTGATCGTTTACAGGCTGTCAGCTTGTAGCTAGAACATGCTGAGTGTGGTGTTCAACAACCAACAAACAATTGGTTCAGGTTGATTATTGTTTGCAGTTCCAAGTATGCTTTGTGTAATAGAACAATTGTTATTCACCAAAGTTTTAGACTTCAAAAGACATACTGGACAGTGTGTTTTGTGTAATAGAACAATTGTTATTCACCAAAGTTTTAGACTTCAAAAGACATACTGGACAGTGTGTTTTGTGTAATAGAACAATTGTTATTCACCAAAGTTTTAGACTTCAAAAGACATACTGGACAGTGTGTTTTGTGTAATAGAACAATTGTTATTCACCAAAGTTTTAGACTTCAAAAGACATACTGGACAGTGTGTTTTGTGTAATAGAACAATTGTTATTCACCAAAGTTTTAGACTTCAAAAGACATACTGACAGTGTGTTTTGTGTAATAGAACAATTGTTATTCACCAAAGTTTTAGACTTCAAAAGACATACTGACAGTGTGTTTTGTGTAATAGAACAATTGTTATTCACCAAAGTTTTAGACTTCAAAAGACATACTGGACAGTGTGTTTTGTGTAATAGAACAATTGTTATTCACCAAAGTTTTAGACTTCAAAAGACATACTGACAGTGTGTTTTGTGTAATAGAACAATTGTTATTCACCAAAGTTTTAGACTTCAAAAGACATACTGGACAGTGTGTTTTGTGTAATAGAACAATTGTTATTCACCAAAGTTTTAGACTTCAAAAGACATACTGACAGTGTGTTTTGTGTAATAGAACAATTGTTATTCACCAAAGTTTTAGACTTCAAAAGACATACTGGACAGTGTGTTTTGTGTAATAGAACAATTGTTATTCACCAAAGTTTTAGACTTCAAAAAGACATACTGACAGTGTGTTTTGTGTAATAGAACAATTGTTATTCACCAAAGTTTTAGACTTCAAAAGACATACTGACAGTGTGTTTTGTGTAATAGAACAATTGTTATTCACCAAAGTTTTAGACTTCAAAAGACATACTGACAGTGTGTTTTGTGTAATAGAACAATTGTTATTCACCAAAGTTTTAGACTTCAAAAGACATACTGACAGTGTGTTTTGTGTAATAGAACAATTGTTATTCACCAAAGTTTTAGACTTCAAAAGACATACTGGACAGTGTGTTTTGTGTAATAGAACAATTGTTATTCACCAAAGTTTTAGACTTCAAAAGACATACTGGACAGTGTGTTTTGTGTAATAGAACAATTGTTATTCACCAAAGTTTTAGACTTCAAAAGACATACTGGACAGTGTGTTTTGTGTAATAGAACAATTGTTATTCACCAAAGTTTTAGACTTCAAAAGACATACTGGACAGTGTGTTTTGTGTAATAGAACAATTGTTATTCACCAAAGTTTTAGACTTCAAAAGACATACTGGACAGTGTGTTTTGTGTAATAGAACAATTGTTATTCACCAAAGTTTTAGACTTCAAAAGACATACTGGACAGTGTGTTTTGTGTAATAGAACAATTGTTATTCACCAAAGTTTTAGACTTCAAAAGACATACTGACAGTGTGTTTTGTGTAATAGAACAATTGTTATTCACCAAAGTTTTAGACTTCAAAAAGACATACTGACAGTGTGTTTTGTGTAATAGAACAATTGTTATTCACCAAAGTTTTAGACTTCAAAAAGACATACTGACAGTGTGTTTTGTGTAATAGAACAATTGTTATTCACCAAAGTTTTAGACTTCAAAAGACATACTGGACAGTGTGTTTTGTGTAATAGAACAATTGTTATTCACCAAAGTTTTAGACTTCAAAAGACATACTGACAGTGTGTTTTGTGTAATAGAACAATTGTTATTCACCAAAGTTTTAGACTTCAAAAGACATACTGACAGTGTGTTTTGTGTAATAGAACAATTGTTATTCACCAAAGTTTTAGACTTCAAAAAGACATACTGACAGTGTGTTTTGTGTAATAGAACAATTGTTATTCACCAAAGTTTTAGGACTTCAAAAGACATACTGACAGTGTGTTTTGTGTAATAGAACAATTGTTATTCACCAAAGTTTTAGACTTCAAAAGACATACTTGACAGTGTGTTTTGTGTAATAGAACAATTGTTATTCACCAAAGTTTTAGACTTCAAAAGACATACTGACAGTGTGTTTTGTGTAATAGAACAATTGTTATTCACCAAAGTTTTAGACTTCAAAAGACATACTGACAGTGTGTTTTGTGTAATAGAACAATTGTTATTCACCAAAGTTTTAGACTTCAAAAGACATACTGACAGTGTGTTTTGTGTAATAGAACAATTGTTATTCACCAAAGTTTTAGACTTCAAAAGACATACTGACAGTGTGTTTTGTGTAATAGAACAATTGTTATTCACCAAAGTTTTAGACTTCAAAAGACATACTGGACAGTGTGTTTTGTGTAATAGAACAATTGTTATTCACCAAAGTTTTAGACTTCAAAAGACATACTGACAGTGTGTTTTGTGTAATAGAACAATTGTTATTCACCAAAGTTTTAGACTTCAAAAAGACATACTGGACAGTGTGTTTTGTGTAATAGAACAATTGTTATTCACCAAAGTTTTAGACTTCAAAAGACATACTGGACAGTGTGTTTTGTGTAATAGAACAATTGTTATTCACCAAAGTTTTAGACTTCAAAAAAGACATACTGGACAGTGTGTTTTGTGTAATAGAACAATTGTTATTCACCAAAGTTTTAGACTTCAAAAGACATACTGACAGTGTGTTTTGTGTAATAGAACAATTGTTATTCACCAAAGTTTTAGACTTCAAAAGACATACTGGACAGTGTGTTTTGTGTAATAGAACAATTGTTATTCACCAAAGTTTTAGACTTCAAAAGACATACTGACAGTGTGTTTTGTGTAATAGAACAATTGTTATTCACCAAAGTTTTAGACTTCAAAAGACATACTGGACAGTGTGTTTTGTGTAATAGAACAATTGTTATTCACCAAAGTTTTAGACTTCAAAAGACATACTGACAGTGTGTTTTGTGTAATAGAACAATTGTTATTCACCAAAGTTTTAGACTTCAAAAGACATACTGGACAGTGTGTTTTGTGTAATAGAACAATTGTTATTCACCAAAGTTTTAGACTTCAAAAGACATACTGACAGTGTGTTTTGTGTAATAGAACAATTGTTATTCACCAAAGTTTTAGACTTCAAAAAGACATACTGGACAGTGTGTTTTGTGTAATAGAACAATTGTTATTCACCAAAGTTTTAGACTTCAAAAGACATACTGGACAGTGTGTTTTGTGTAATAGAACAATTGTTATTCACCAAAGTTTTAGACTTCAAAAGACATACTGGACAGTGTGTTTTGTGTAATAGAACAATTGTTATTCACCAAAGTTTTAGACTTCAAAAGACATACTGACAGTGTGTTTTGTGTAATAGAACAATTGTTATTCACCAAAGTTTTAGACTTCAAAAGACATACTGGACAGTGTGTTTTGTGTAATAGAACAATTGTTATTCACCAAAGTTTTAGACTTCAAAAGACATACTGGACAGTGTGTTTTGCAATGTTGTCTCTACTGGAATGAATTTTCCATTTCTTCAACTGCTACATGTTGTTGAGATTTGAAAAACCCCTCTTTATATGACATATTTGTCAGCTTTGGTTGATGAACTGATAACCATTACTATTTACATATTGTTTCATATGTATAAAGCATCCTACTCTATTAACGCCTCCACATTGGAAAACAAAATACATGAGTATATCATTGTCCATATTCTGGAAATTCAGATATTTCATTTCCTCATATTTTTATCTGTCATAACTGATTCAGAAGCTTACCCAAGCAGACCGAGCAGGATGTATTTAGCAGCTTCCATCCTCTGTTTGAAACTGTCATGTTAAAAGCAGGTCTAAAAGATCGGCACAAGATATCAAGATTTTAGGTGGCCCCCTTATTTTTAAAGCCATTTCAAAAGCTATAATTTGGAGCCATTGAGGGATATTAACAGTGTATGAAATAAGCCAAAAACCCAGTCAGACATCAGGGCTGGTAACTTCAAAATGTTACCAGCCCAAATGGAATTTAACCAGACCAAACACCAAGATATGGTGAATTTACTCAGATGTATGGGACATCTAAAATGTTCACCAGACCATCTTGACTGTCCGTCAGAAATCTAACCCGTCTGGGGCGGTCGGAAGGGCCTTATTTCATACACTGATATTAATATTCATCAGTAACATCAGCCAAAGAAACAGGAACCATTTGGGGCCAAAACATCAGTGTCTGAGACTGAAATGTTTGTGTGCCCTCCAGTAGCTAATGATAACACCCTTTCTCAGAATAATCTCTGATTATGACAGACCGTGTAGATTGTATACAAATCCTCACATGTGAGTCAACAAGAATTGAAGAATTTTGGTGCTATTCTGTTTTCTTTTGATGCTGCTGACCTAAGTATGTTACTTGTGAATAATAGATGTCATTTTGCTGTTAATGGTGAGTTGGGAGGTTGGATGAGCATCCGTGGAGTTGGAAATCTTGTTATTGGATTTTTCTCATTAATCCATCTGTGTTTAGTTGGTGGGGAAGTTTCTGTGCTGATATTGGCTAAAGTCAAGACTGTTGGCAATGAAAGATAAGGAAGGAGTGTTTGCTTGCTTGCTTTTATTCAATAACATGAATTGATCTCCCTGTGTCCTCGAATCACAAATTATTCAAAAGCTGAATTTGGCTGTGCATGGTCTTTGCAGGTTATGATGAGAGGAGTTATCTCCCTTAAGCTGTTATTTCCCTAACACATATTTATTTTGATTAATGTCTGGCAAATTGTTTGTTTTGACTGACTGAGATAAACAGAATGTTTTTCTGGTATTTGTTTACTCAAACATCATGATGGTAAGTTGTTTGTTTACAGTAGTAAGCCATTTTGTTGCCAGTGATAATAAATCAGAGCGAATGGTGTCAACATTTTATTTACTGTTTCAATATGGCTGCTGTCCTTTTGGATACATGCATGATATGTTTGGTTATGAAAGATTCAGCTGATTAAAGTTAAGTCATTTTCATCGTGATATTTGTTTGTTGTTTAACGACACACTTAGCAATATTCCCATTATATAATGGCAGTCTGTCTGAACCAGAGAGTTCAGTGATTCCCATCATAAACATTGATCACTCTGTGCAGTTTGGGTAAACTGACATACATCAACCAAGTCCGTGAGTCGGATCAACCAATCCTCTGTGTCTTACAACAAGCATGGGTTAATGAAGGTTTATTCTAACCCAGAGTAATTGTCACCCCGAAGACTCTATCATTTAAAGCCCTGTTACGTGGAAAGGGACCACCTCATTGTCTAGTGAACAGAGCATCTCTCCTTAGAGCTTGATGTTGGTGGTGCAAGCCTCATACCAAAAGATGTGAATAGATGGAAATTATTTGCAACATGTATTTCACAGGTGTTTTGAAAAACTCAATAGGCCACCTGCCTCAGCTGATGAGTTGCTGCTTACATTATCATCCAATATGTGGTTCAGTTTGTAAGCAGTTATTGTCATACATTTCTGATGCTTAGGCAATCATATTTTCAATTTTTTGGGGTCATAATAGGCAATTGTGTAATGCTGACCTGACCATTCCTGGCGTGCGAAACTTTCAGTATATTCGTATTTAAAAATCCAAGCATTCATTGTGTATTTCTTGTAAGATAATGATTTGTGATGCATTGATGTAACAATATTAGAGTCACTTTCACTCGCTTTCTGATCAGAAATACAATTAAATATTGATGAAGTTTCTCATGTCAGTTCTCTCAAAAGTGTAGGTATTTCCAGCTATAGGTAACAGAGTGGTGCTGCTACTCCCAATGTAGAGTTGTCTCCCTTAGCTGCCATAATGCATTGGGTATGTGAGGTGTCCTAATTTACCAGAACTATGTTTATGGGTGAAACCAAGGCAAACAAACAATCATGACCTTTGCTATCTCAATAAAATCAGACCTTAGTGATCCCTACCATTTCACAAAGATCTGAGGACATTCAGTTACAGGTCACATCAGAATGACCTTTTAAGACAATTCAGTATAAGGACTAACACACTTCACAAAGATCTCACCATGTTCAATTGCACGATTTCCTTAGCAGGAACTGTCACTTTGACTGACCAATATGATGACTAACAGGAAGTAGAAGCCAATCAGAAAGCATCATTCTCAGGTCAATTATAATTTCCAACTTCAAGAAATTTTCAGAGTAATATTTCAACAAATTTATTGACTTAAATTTTTAAAAAGACCAAAATAAAAGTATCTAATGTATAGTAAATGGCCATCCTGTATGGCAGTATTTAGTATGGAAATTCTCTTCTGTTTCTGTTTATTCCATTAAATTGTTAAACTTTCTGACATTTCACTTTTGTGATTTCTTTAGTGGTACTCTTGACCCCATTTCACAAAGCGATCATAGTGCTAACTTGGTGATCGTATCTCCGATACTTTAACATTGACTTACGACAGTCGCAACGCTATGATTGTGCTATGTGAAACGGGCCCTGGTTGGTCGTATCAAAGTTTGTTGTGATGTGACCTTGGATGTCTTCTGATATTGTGTAGCAGTACAAACAAGATCTGATTTTAATGTGACTGTGATGTGTGATATTGTCATAGTTTCTTATTGAATTACTGTTCAAGCCTCACTCAGTACTCATCTACTCACTTCTTACTTACCTCCAGGTGTGACTGCACCTGTCACTGAACTAACCTCTGTTAGCATGTTCCATATGTACCTTTCACTCATCCGGCACTAAACCAGCACTAACACACTAACCCTTTACCGCCAGATTCCAATAAGACTGTGTGGTATATCACCACCGACCCGGTGGCCATACCAACTCCTGATCTGGTTAGCCAGCCGGTCACTGATGGAGCCCTCTCATCGATTTCAGCAAGTCTTGCAGACAAACCAGCATCACCGGAGAAAAAGCCCACTCGTGTAAAGCCCAAAGGCACCATTCCATATGAGGTATGTATCTGGAAATATGGCAAAGGATATGGTTAGAAACGTTTATCAAGGGAAACTTTGGTTTTCAATGATGTTTATCCTTGATTCTACAGTATTTAAAGGGACCACGGTGTAGATTAGTGGTTAAAGCTTTCACTTGTCATGCCGAAGACCCGGGTTCGATTCCTCACATGGGTACAATGTGTGAAGTCCATTTCTGGTGTCCCCTGCCGTGATATTGCTGGAATATTTCTAAAAGCAGCGTAAAACTAAACTCATTCACTCACTTACTCATTCCAGTATTAAATTTGATTATTTTATTTGGGGAACAATTGCAGACTGTCTTTTGACCATTTTTACTGAGTGAGTGAGTGAGTAGTGCATAAGTGAGTTAATATTTAGTCACATTGACAATATTTCAGCCAAATCATGACAGGTCATACACTCATTTTCGTGAATAAAATAAGGTATATATATTAACACATTTTTGGAGTCTTTAAAACCTGTCAACAAAGGACAGTAAAAGAACTGGAATATCGTACATAATTATCTAAAACTAGTATGTAAGTAGTAAAATTTGAATATTAGTAACAGCCAAAGTTAGGCCACCACACTTGGGACCATGGGCACTTAGACCATTTTCGGTCTGGTTCGACTTTTGGCATGCTGTAACCAATATCATGAACTAGTAGTTTTGACTTTTGTCTCGTCACCTTGACAGGAAAATATTCTTTAATTCAATTCAGTATTCAATAACAGTCTCTTGATTAGATAGATATGGCAGTGATTTTGAGTGTGTGAGTCAGATTATATGCCGCTTTTAGCAATATTCCAGCAATATCATGGCAGGGGACACCCGAAATGGGCTTCACACATTGTACCCATGTGGGGAATCGAACCTGGGTCTTCAGCGTGATGATTGGACGCTTTAACCGTTAGGCTACCCAACCGCCCCCAGTGATTTTGAATACGTTGAGCCATGTTCAGAAGTGACAATTGGATTGGTTGGTGATGTCCAGCTGTTGCTGAGTTAGTGGAGTGAGATGGAAATGGTTTGTTGAAGCAAAACTTCCAGTGCTATGGTAATGAATGAGTTCAATAGACATTATTGTGTAGAACTTGCCAGTGACTGCATCCTTTCTTCTGGTAGTGCTTAGTGTCAATGAAATTTAGTCATTTTGGAATGGAATTATGAAGTGAAATAGGGAAATGAATATTTGGACATGTAGAATGGTGGTTGTTGCGTTCATTGACCTCATACAACTCATAGTTATTGTATTGATTATGATTGTAATGTATTCCTACATCCGCGATAATCTCCAGGGTATACGTTCCGATAAATCTCTACTTTATATTTATTGGAAATTTATCGAAACGTATACATTGAGATTATCGAGGATGGTATTCCCAGAGTACAACAACATATTGCTATGATCTTCGATATGGTTTATTGGTTCATTTGGAAGTTACTGCCTCTGTATCGTAAGAGGCGACTTACGGGATCGGGTGGTCAGGCTCGCTTACTTGGTTGACATGTCATCGGTTTCCAATTATGCAGATTGATGATCATGCTGTTGATCATTAGATTGTCTGGTCCAGACTCGACTATTTACAGATCGCCGCCATATAGCTGAAATATTGCTGAGTGCGGCGTAAAACTAAGCTCACTCACTTACTCACTACTGCCTCTGCAGTCTCTTGGACAGAACATCTGCCCAAAGTGTGGAAGGCCAGTTGTACAATCTCTCACCCATGTTTTACCAAAGCTGGTTAAAATATAGTACTTGTTGTTCCATGCCTGGCATCAAGGGGATACAACACTGACTTTGCCCGGTTCCAGAAAAAATCTTAGCGCTGAAGTGACGTTAACAAGCATACTTTAACAGAGGGTGATAATCACTGTAGTGCTAAGATCAGTTTGTGGAAAGGGGCCTGGGCTCCGTTTCACAAAGTTATCGTACTGCTACTACTGCTGAAAGTCTATGTTACAGTATAGGAGCTACTATTGCTATGAGAAAAGTTACGAGATCTTAGGCTTTGTGAAACAGGGCCCAGGTCGACTCAGAGTCATTATACTGTATATGGGTCTGCTATATATGTTAAAATGTTGCATTGTATCTCATGGTTTCACCATGCTCTAGATGCCTTAGTAGATGCCATGTATACCTGGTCCAGTTTCAACTATTTGTAGGATCCAGTGATATATAATTAACTCCAGTGGTGTAATTAGCTCTTCACAAAAATTGATTGGCTGAAGATCAGCATGGTTTTCTAGTTGTGAGTTTGTCCTGTAGGTGGCGGGGCGAGACAGCTTGGAGAGCATTGCTGCACATCATGACACCACACCCTCAGAGTTGAAGAAACTCAACAGGCTGGTGTCTCGGATGATCTTTCCTGGACAGGTAACAGTTAGGAAGAAACTTTTCACGGAACTTTTATTATAACCAAAACATCAGAATTGTTTGACAATGCAATCAAATGGGGTTACTATATATAATGCCAATCATATTAGCTGATTAACAGAGATATAGTTTTGTTGTCGAAGAAACATTTTCAGCTTCAAATGACTCTTTTGTGTGCTGAAGTCAGGGCTACAAATGTTTATGAGATCATCATTCTCTGTGTGTTTCCAGGTGTTGTACATCCCAGATCCAGACTATGTGTCCAGCAGTGACCAGGAGGCGTCGTCTCCAGAGCCATCCATCTCTCCACCCTCACACAGCCCACCCCCAGAATCCAGGGTCAGAATTGTGAGTTAAATATTGTTCTATGCCACCCCTATAGCCATCCATCTCTCCACCCTCCCACAGCCCACCCCCAGAATCCAGAGTCAGAGTGGTGAGTTAAATATTGTTCTATGCCACCCCTGTAGCCATCCATCTCTCCACCCTCCCACAGCCCACTCCCAGTACCCAGAGTCAGAGTGGTGAGTTAAATATTGTTCTATGCCACCCCTATAGCCATCCATCTCTCCACCCTCCCACAGCCCACCCCCCAGTACCCAGAGTCAGAGTGGTGGTGAGTTAAATATTGTTCTATGCCACCCCTATAGCCATCCATCTCTCCACCCTCCCACAGCCCACTCCCAGTACCCAGAGTCAGAGTGGTGAGTTAAATATTGTTCTATGCCACCCCTATAGCCGTCCATCTCTCCACCCTCCCACAGCCCACTCCCAGTACCCAGGGTCAGAGCGGTGAGTTAAATATTGTTCTATGCCAGCCCTGTAGCCATCCAACTCTCCACCCTCCCACAGCCCACTCCCAGTACCCAGGGTCAGAGTGGTGAGTTAAATATTGTTCTATGCCACCCCAATAGCCATCCATCTCTCCACCCTCCCACAGCCCACTCCCTGTAACCAGAGTCAGAGTGGTGAGTTAAATATTGTTCTATGCCACCCCAATAGCCATCCATCTCTCCACCCTCCCACAGCCCACTCCCAGTACCCTGTGAGTCAGAGCAGTGAGTTAAATATTGTTCTATGCCACCCCAATAGCCATCCATCTCTCCACCCTCCCACAGCCCACTCCCAGTACCCAGGGTCAGAGTGGTGGTGAGTTAAATATTGTTCTATGCCACCCCAATAGCCATCCATCTCTCCACCCTCCCACAGCCCACCCCCAGTATCCAGAGTCAGAGTGGTGAGTTAAATATTGTTCTATGCCACCCCTATAGCTGTCCATCTCTCCACCCTCCCACAGCCCACCCCCAGAATTTCAGGGTCAGAATTGTGAGTTAAATATTGTTCTATGCCACCCCTATAGCTGTCCATCTCTCCACCCAGTGGCGAGTTAACACTCTCCTGTACACCAATTCCATACTCTGTCCTCAATATTTATGTTATTGTAATGACTATGTAATGAGATAATAATGCACATATCACAAGATGAATCACAGCATAAATGAAGATAATTACACTAACTAAATAGAGGTTATGGTGTGATAAACATCAGTACTGTTCAACCACATGAAGCATAATACAATTATCAACACATATTCTCTTGCTTGATTTAAATTAATGTATTTTTTTCTTATTTTACCAATATTGACTAACACTGACTAAATTGTTGGTTTTATATAACTGTAACACTTTTTGCATAAAAGTAAACATTTCGGCATGTCCTAAAAGTGACACCATGTGCAATTATATGACATCAAGGTTTAATCATCCTTTAGGGTTAGTTACATACTGGTATAAGGCAGCCTAGATTGATTGACTGATCATTAAGAGTTTAATAGGTGTTAGGGCAAATAGGCCCATTTACACCTTGCCCATCATAAAGATTTGCTAAAAGCCTATAGGTTAGTCTTGTGCTTAGGTTCATTTCCACACGTGGCTACAATGACGGAAGGGGCAGTGGGGTAGCCTAGTGGTTATAGTGTTCATCATGCTGAAGACCCTGGTTTTATTCCCCACATGGGTATAATGTGCTATTGTGAGTGAGTGAGTATGGTTTAATGTCGCTTTTAGCAATATTCCAGCAACATCACGGCAGGGGACACCAGAAATTGGCTTCATACATTGTACCCTTGTGGGTAATCGAACCTGGTTCTTCAGCGTGACAAGCGGACACTTTAACCATTAGGCTACCCAATCGCCCCCTATTTCATGCTAATTCATAATTTGCCATGAAGCACTTCACACTTGATGGAATTTGCTCATGTGAGGCTCTGTCTTCATCAGCTGATAAATGTCAACAAGTACCAGTTGAATCCATAAGTGAAAGATTATAACCGTCAGTACCTATATTTGTTGTCATCACATGGATGGTGATATATGTGCGATGGCATCACAGTGAAAGATGTATAATCGGATGAAACTAAGGTAACAGATCTCTTCATACTGACAAACAATGGAAAATTATTTGCTGCAAATTAATATAAAATATTTCATGACAACAACAGCAGGCGCCAATGAAAGAACTTTCCGACACATGATCACGAGAGCCACCAATCGTTTCAGCTAGGATTGTTTTACCTTATTGTTGTAGCATATTGACGATGGAAAACGAATAACAATATTTTAACTAAATGTGGCTAAATTGGTTTGAGTAGGTGCCAAACATCAAGTGGGAAAGTATTGATCGGTAAGCAAAACCAACTTTTTATGTCTATCCTATGTTCTGCATATTACTTCTTAAAGTAAAATTGCTGTGAGGTACTTTGGAACATCACTAGTTTTTTTAATGTATTGACCAGTTTGATGTATATCCATTGTTTGAGATCCAACGATCGGCAATTATGGATTAGAAAATATCAGCCAATGATGACTAACTAAGGTCAAATGACTACAACATCTGTGTCTTATTTTCAGCCAAGTTATGTCACTTGTGATATAGTTATTTATTCTTTCAAACTGAGGTTTTTTGCAAGGCATCAAAAATGGTAATTAAAATCTGGTCATGGTAATGTTTTCATGTTGGGAAAAACTAAAATTGGCTACATTATAATTCATACCGCCCTGTTCAAAGTTGGTTTTTCTTTCTTTAATGATCATATTATGCACTATTGTAAGATTATATTTAACTTTTGACATAGACAGTTGGAAATTAGAAGGTCAGACATTTCAGATGTTTGTTTAACAATAACGAATAGATGGAATTATGAGTAGAAAAACACTAAAAATAATAGCACAATAATGAAAATCTCGAACAGGAGGAATGTGCTTCACAGTTTCCAGTGTCCAGAGCCCTTATTCTCGAAATGTTCGTAGCCCTAAGAATTCTTAACTTTGATCGTAGCCAATGTGTTAAGAATGGGCTTAAGAAGTTCGTAGGGCTACGAACGTTTCGAGAATAGCTAGCCAGCTTCTCAGATGATGTTATGTGTAAAATACTAGGTGACATAAGTGATATACATGAAATAGAGACAATGCCTTCTCCATGAATGAGGATGATCATCAACTGCTTGAATAGGTCTTCAATTTACCAGGTTTGAAGAATATGAAGACAATGAAACTTTCAAGGATTAAATCTTTTTTATTGTTTGTAAAGTTTTAAAGTTTATCTCTTCACCTGTGGGGTGTTGAGTCAATGTTTTCATGCTATCTGGCATCTAATGAAGGGGAGAAAAGTCATCCCAAAATGTTGTTACAAACAATAAAGACATTGTCATCGTGAAGTGTCACATCTTTATCTGATAAAGTGATATATGGTCGATCATTTTAGTCTGATGATGATGATGATGATGATGATGATGATGATGATGATGATGATGATTTGGGGATTTAACATACACTTTCCAACATACTGCATATTTCTCACACTGGCCCGCCAGGCCATTTAATGTATGATTCAAAGAGGGGTGATTTTACTGAAAGGTATGGCAACGTGAAGGTGGTGTTAGGGGGGTAGTATTTTTAAATTTGTATGAATTTTTAGACTGACTGAGATAGGTTTTTATGAACTATAGTGAAGTTTACAGAGACTGCCAATTAACCTGGACTTAGATCCCCTTTCAGCAGCGTTTCAAATGAGCAATAGATGATACTTTAACGATGACAAGCAGCAGGAAGTCATTGACTTGATACTGACAGGTGACAGTTTAAAGATTGGCTTTGATGCCATCGCAGACTGCTGCTATATCTGCTGTTAGTGGCAGTACCAGGAAAGTGGGCTGTTGATTGACTGCTATTGACATGTATGACGGCGTTCAGTGTGGCTAGTCATGTGCTGATATTGATCATGGACCAGCTGTAATGTACAATATGCACCTCTCTTGTCCCTGCTTGAGGCTGTCAATATCACAGCTTCCACCTGTTGATATGTAAGTCCCAGCATCAACAGCATTTGTATATGGCATCTTGGGTAGCCTTTGTACTTGACAACCGCAGCACATGTAGATTGGGGGGAAATTTTGATTTGCTGGTTTGTGTAAATTGAAATGTGGTCTCCAAATGACAGCATGTGCGATGTCGTGACCTTCTTTGAGTATGATATTTCTGTGCACAGCACTGGGGTAAGTAGTGTACAGGATCAATGTTTGTTTAGCCTGGTGTTGTTGATGGGCTCCATGTGATGTTCAGTTCACTGTATTCGCGCATCTATAACAGTAAATTCATGGAGATCAAATATAAGGGCATGAATGCATAAATTGAATGTGAATTAATTCTAATCAATGCTGCTGATTGTGACATATGTGATATGTCATGAAAAGATTCTCTTGTGAATAAACAGTTTTAAATTTGACTTCCATAATTATATATCTGTTGATGTTGATAGTTCCATTATCTTTGCTCTGTCAGTAGCATGTTCATGCTCTTTAGTCAGTCAACACTATGGTGAATCCCTTGCTCTGTCAGTACCGTGTCCATGTTCTTTAGTCAGTCAACACTATGGTGAATACCTTGCTCTGTCAGTACCATGTTCATGCTCTTGAGCCATTCAACAGTATGGTGAATCCCTTGCTCTGTCAGTACCATGTCCTTGCTCTTGAGCCATTCAACACTATTGGGTATCTCTTGCTCTGTCAGTACCATGTCCGTGCTCTTGAGCCATTCAACACTATGGTGAATCCCTTGCTCTGTCAGTACCATGTCCTTGCTCTTGAGCCATTCAACACTATTGGGTATCTCTTGCTCTGTCAGTACCATGTCCGTGCTCTTGAGCCATTCAACACTATGGGGTATCTCTTGCTCTGTCAGTACCATGTCCTTGCTCTTGAGCCATTCAACACTATGGGGTATCCCTTGCTCTGTCAGTACCATGTCCATGCTCTTGAGCCATTCAACACTATGGGGTATCCTTTGCTCTGTCAGTATCATGTCCTTGCTCTTGAGCCATTCAACACTATGGGGTTTCCTTTGCTCTGTCAGCACCATGTCCTTGCTCTTGAGCCATTCAACACTATGGGGTATCCTTTGCTCTGTCAGTACCATGTCCTTGCTCTTGAGCCATTCAACACTATGGGGTATCCCTTGCTCTGTCAGTACCATGTCCTTGCTTTGGAGCCATTCAACACTATGGGTTATCCTTTGCTCTGTCAGTACCATGTCCTTGCTCTTGAGCCATTCAACACTATGGGGTATCCTTTGCTCTGCCAGTACCATGTCCTTGCTCTTGAGCCATTCAACACTATGGGTTATCCTTTGCTCTGTCAGTACCATGTCCATGCTCTTGAGTCAGTCAACACTATGGTGAATCCCTTGCCCCGTCAGTACCACGTCCATGCTCTTGAGTCATTCAACACTATGGGGTACCCTTTGCTCTGTCAGTACCATGTCCATGCTCTTGAGTCATTCAACACTATGGGGTATCCCTTGCTCTGTCAGTACCATGTCCATGCTCTTGAGCCATTCAACAGTATGGGGTATCCTTTGCTCTGTCAGTACCATGTCCATGCTCTTGAGCCATTCAACACTATGGGGTATCCTTTGCTCTGTCAGTACCATGTCTGTGCTCTGGAGCCATTCAACACTATGGGGTATCCTTTGCTCTGTCAGCACCATGTCCTTGCTCTTGAGCCATTCAACACTATGGGGTATCCTTTGCTCTGTCAGTACCATGTCCATGCTCTTGAGCCATTCAACACTATGTTGAATCCTTTGCTCTGTCAGTACCATGTCCTTGCTCTTGAGCCATTCAACACTATGGGGTATCCCTTGCTCTGTCAGTACCATGTCCTTGCTCTGGAGCCATTCAACACTATGGGGTATCCTTTGCTCTGTCGGTACCATGTCCATGCTCTTGAGTCAGTCAACACTATGGTGAATCCCTTGCTCTGTCAGTACCACGTCCATGCTCTTGAGTCATTCAACACTATGGGGTATCCTTTGCTCTGTCAGTACCATGTCCATTCTCTTGAGTCAGTGAACACTATGGGGTATCCTTTGCTCTGTCAGTACCATGTTCATGCTCTTGAGCCATTCAACACTATGGTGAATCCCTTGCTCTGTCAGTACCATGTCCTTGCTCTTGAGCCATTCAACACTATGGGGTATCCCTTGCTCTGTCAGTACCATGTCCATGCTCTTGAGTCAGTCAACACTATGGGGTATCCCTTGCTCTGTCAGTACCATGTCCATGCTCTTGAGCCATTCAACACTATGGTGAATCCCTTGCTCTGTCAGTACCATGTCCATGCTCTTGAGCCATTCAACACTATGGTGAATCCCTTGCTCTGTCAGTACCATGTCCATGCTCTTGAGTCATTCAACACTATGGTGAATCCCTTGCTCTCTCAGTACCATGTCCATGCTCTTGAGTCATTCAACACTATGGTGAATCCCTTGCTCTCTCAGTACCTTGTCCTTGCTCTTGTGACTTTCAACCTTGTTGGAAATTTGGTTAGAAATATTTGGAAGCAACCTATCCCCATTGTACAAGGTCGCATAATGGATGGGTTGGTCAGTGACAAGTTGACAGCATGTTTTGTACTCTGACTGGGTTCATAATATCAATCACCTTTTTGTTTTGCCCAGACTGAATCTGCTACATGCAGCTGACATATAACTTGAATAACGGTCACTGTGGACTTTACCAACAAATGAACAAACAAACATTATGTGGCTTTCAGCAAAGTCATGGATGTCAGTGACATGCATCAGTTGTATACACACTGTGATAAAACAAAACATATTATTATCAACTGTTGATACCGATGGACCAGCTTAAGATAAATGTTGGGGTATGTCCTGACACCCTGACACAGTTGGGAACTGAAGAAACATTGTGATTACTAGGGGTGACTGTTGAGGGGGAAACAACTATTGCGATAGCAATAGTCTATTGCAACATACTATTGTGACCAACTATTGTGAAAGCGATAGTATGTTGCGACCAACTATTGCAATACTTTTGCAATACTTTTTTCTCTCCTTGAATTGACTCATTTCCCAAATGAACATACAGTTTATATGAAATAAAGAGAAGTTGAAGTAGTTTCAGTCTCTTTTAATAACTAACAAGAAACTTGAAACCCAGATCAAGTAAACAGTTAAAGGTCACATGCAACCAAAATATCAAACATTATTAAAACACAATTATCACTTATTCATGACATATAATATACATTGCTGGTTATGAAAAAAACATATAAACAAAATTATAAGCGTACAATCGCAAATCAAAAGTGCAATATTGTGTACTTGGGTTTACTTCCCAAGAAACGAAGCAGCCGGGATACCGAACCCAGTCAGAGCGGGTGGGTGTGCACTCAAGTGTAACGGCTTGTTCATTTGCAGATGCTCATTTTTTGTGTATAACATTTTGCAATCAACAGACATCAGAACATGTCATGTGTTCAAGTGTCACACCTGCCTGTCTGTGTAATTACATAATGTGACAGAGACCGAACTCGGGCCATAAATCAATGCATTTTGTTTATGGTGTATAGCCTGATTGGTGTTAAGTTCAAATTGCATGTGGTCAGTGATCGCAGCTGTGTATTGAATATTGTCATCAGCAGACAGGCAGGCAGACACACAGGTGTCAATAAAACAAGACATTGAGTTTTGTCTGTGACAGCGGCATATCTATATCACAGTTAGAAATTGTGTCTACGCTAAATAATGACAATGCTTTTAAGTATCGAACTGAGAAAGTGACTCGGTAAGAAGAATGTGTGGTGAAATAGACAAATGAAATTATATAAACAGTTAATTTACTGTCATAACATATCAAAAGCTCGCGCCTGTAAGATATCAACAAAACATTAGAAAAATAGCTCACACCAAAGCCTTCACCGAGTATTCACCGGACAACCCGCTTCCAAGGTGTGCGAACCTATTTCACTGCGCACATGCTATGAGCGCAGCCCAGCTGTTGAAACCCGTTTTCCCCAGAAAAGTCGGGGGAAATTTAGTGAAAAGTTTGAACTCCGATTTCGCGCGTTTTTTTTCATCGCGTTATTTTTCAACTTTGTAAGTTGAATTTGCATTTTGACGATTTGTTTCGGTAAGTCCATACCGAAAGGTATCAGAATCTGCAAAGTTGTGTTTTACGTTGCATGTGACCTTTAAACCATAAACTCAATGAGGCTGCAAGTCTGCACCCAAACATCCTGAAATTGGCGCTGACGCATTTATCAACAGAAGTCAATTACTAAACTATCAATAGTCACACATACTATCGATGCATCAATTGCAACCCGTCTATAGTTCGATGCATCATTACAGCCCTAGTGATTGCTCTGTACCCGGTGATGTGGTGGTCATTTCGCTTGGAACGGTACTTTGTGAGGTTTAGTCAAGTTATTTAAATGATGAGATTAATGAGAATATACAAAAGTTTGGTAATATATAGAGTTAAACAGTGTTAATTCAATATAAGAACACTATCAATATCAACAACTGATGATGATGACGATAATGAGGAAAGAAAGTAAAATAGTATTAATTCAAAGTAACAGTTACAATATCAACATGATGCACATGATGATAATCACAACAAAAATAATGATAATAATAACATGAATAAAGACCTCAACATGATGATGATGATGATGATGATGATGACATGTTTCTGTTGTAAAGGATGTGCCCCTGGTCTGTATGGCTGACAAACCACCAGCACGAGTCCCAGGTCATGTGGAGCGGCAGATCTCGTTGCCGAAGGAAAAAGAGCCTGTACCACAAAAGCTGTCTGAGGAGGAGGCAAAGCAGCTGGACCAGGAATGCTATGAGAGATTTATCAAAATTAATGTCAAACACATCACTGATGGACAGGTGAGGCATTCAACAGTTTGTACAAATATCTACTTTTGTCTTTCTTTGTCATACAGCAGCATCTTCTAATGGGATCCCGACTACTTCTGTTGTCTAGTGGTTAGACTGTCTGCCCAGAGTGCAAGGTCAGTGGTTGGGAGCAAAAGATGGTATTTGTTGTTTCCCTGCCTGCCACATGGCATTATGGGGATAAAGCAAGCACTGGCTGGCTCAGAGTCAGTATACTGTGTCTGAGTAGGGTATTGACCTGTGAAGATCCGGGTTAGAATTGATCTTCAGTAACCCATGCTTGATATAAGAGGCGACTAACGGGATCGGGTGTTCAGGCTCGCTGACTTGTTTGACACATGTCATCGTATCCCTTTTGCGTAGATTGATGCTCATGCTGTTGATCACTGGATTGTGTGGTCCAGACTCAATTATTTACAGATCGCCGCAATATAGCTGGAATATTGCTGAGTGCGGCATTAAACAACAAACAAACCAACCGAGTGGGGTATCCATGTGGAACTGCCACATGGTGGACAAGCACTTTAAAACCGACTGTACAAGCAGAGACAAAGACATATATGTACCTTGATATATAAGTGCAATAATATTGAGCATGACATTAAACCCTATTGTTTGCTCAGCGACCTGTACTGTAAAACAGAGATTTAAATATCGGAATGTGATATTGCTCCTTCAAAATACCAAACAATACTCTCAGCTGCTACCAGTTTTCATGAATTCTGCACAAAATCCTGCTTTACTGTTTTTTGTATGAATAGAAAAGCCTTTTTGGACAAATGCTTCCATAATTTGTAGACTGACAATCACAATGTGAAATCAGGGGACATACTCTCTTTAGTCACAATACAAAAGTTGGATTCACTTGAAAACAGAACAGGAATAGTGATTTTAACACATTCATTATGTTAAAATTTAAAAGGATATGTTTTAGGAAGGTTCTTTTATTATTCTAAAATTACACAAATTTGTCAAATGATTATTTGAAATTATTCTTTACGCAGAGAAATACAAAACATTTAATTCACATGTTGAACTTAAAACAAATAAGAGGCTGTTCTTGCACACCTGGCTGTCCCTTTCTCTGCACTCCTCCCTCGTAACAAATAGTGGCTGTTCTTCAGTACATGGACGTTAAGTTTCTGCAGTGTAGCTGACTAATTCCTCAGCAGCAGACTTTCTATAAATTTCTATATTATTTATTCTGTTTATTTACAAGTTTAAGTTCTGCACAAAAAAGGATTTCCTGCAACATAGGTAAACATGAAGAGTGCAGTTCTGCAAAATATTCCATGGAATAGAGCAGGGACTGAATACTTCCCACTTGAGAATGAGATCCCTAACTGTAGATACAAGTTAAAGGAGGCAGCTAAAATGTGTATTGGGTGGTTACAATGTACAATGTAGTGCTCAGGAGAGTGGTAACTAAGGGAGACAACTCTTCTGTGTGACCTAAACTAGCTGTAGTCCGTTTGGCTCAAAAGCGGACCGATGAATTGCAATCTAACTCGAAAACTAATAAACTTATAATACTCAATAAAACGCTGATCATAATCAAAACATCACACAAACTCTGTGATTTGTTTGCAGAATTTATGTCCTAAAATTAAAAAAGTTGTTTAACAAACTATCATTAAAATATTGACACAATTCACTTTTTGTTACGAGGGAGGAGTGCAGAGAAAGGGACAGCAAGAAGTTAGAGAAGCATGTGCACAAGTGCCAACAAAGTTATTGATTCGTGAACCTGTGCTGTGCCGTCTCCATCCTTTCTCGCACACCTGGCTGTCCCTTTCTCTGCACTCCTCCCTCGTAACAAATAGTGAACTGTGTCCATATTTTAATGATAGTTTGTTAAACAACTTTTTTATTTTTAGGACATAAATTCTGCAAAAACCTCACAGAGTAAGCCAAACGGACTATAGTGTGTGTTGCTGGTCTGAATGACAACAATCAGTGTAAGCCACTGGGTTATCAGGTGCAGAATTTCTGATTATGACCCGTCCTGATACACTACTGCTATCTTTAGCATTGGAATGAAAATTTCTCACTGAAAGCATAAGTATTATGATACTGATCCCAGCAATGGAGTTCTCTGAATGTTGCCAACAGATTTATTATATTGAGCATGACTGCCAAGTTATCTTTTGAAAATATCATTTTTGTTTACCTGCAAATAGTTGGTATAGAAAATATATACAGCCCTTTTTAATTCTGAATGTAGCCAAACTTCATGGCAGGCATCTTGGAAAACAAAGTGGCCCATTTATGCAATCACTCTAAGACAGCCATAACTCAAAACATTTTTGACAAAAATTAAAAGAGAAAAGTGTTTTGTAGTCATTTTAACATGAACATACAGTATGACGGTTCCTGAATAGGGCAATGTTTGTATAAAATTAACCTGACCTCCCTACATATATATTGTACACTTTGCTTACCTTGTGACTCTCTCTTTTCTAACGTTCCCATCGTGAACAAGTAAATGTGGAAAAAGAGATGAAGCAAATAGTACTAGAAGTCAAAGAATGATAAATTAAGCCGTTCCTCTTTCAGGGAGTAGTGAGTGGAACATTGATTGTGACCCCCAACGCTGTGATGTTCGACCCCAACGTGTCCGACCCCCTGGTGATCGAGCATGGCACGGAGCTATATGGGATGATCACTCCCATGGACATGGTGATCAGCGCTGCCATGTACCACGACATAGCTGCCATGAGGCTCCGTGGCAAGAAAGGGTAAGCCATTCCTCCAAACTTCATGTACTCCTGATGTATTGACAACCTTCAGAGAACTATCTTTGGTCATTCCATGGTGACTTTAGAGCAAAGTCTTCAATTTGGAAACATTTTCAACTGATCTCTTGTACAATCACATCTGAGTCTGCCAGTGGCATTGTTTCAAGAGACAGGAAACAATAATTTTATTACCTTAAACCACAATATATTGCAACACATATTGCAATACGTATCATAATATATCACAATACAAAAATTTTGACAATGCGCAACCCTAATTGCAACAGTTAAACAACTGGAGGAGTTGCTATTGATGTTAGCATTTCTGTATTGTCAATACTGTTGGAATTTTGATATCCCAGCAAATATGTTTTGCAAGTACTCAGGAGATTATTGCATATATACACAGGAATTATGTGTTATGTAAAATCATGCATATTGCCAGGTTCTCTTTTATCTATATGTGTGACAGTCTCTTAGATTATTGTGACAGATGTGCAGCATCTGGAGTGGATTTTTAACTCACGTACCATTGGATGTATTATATACAGTGAAACATTGCTGATGTCTGCTCCATTATCTCGGTTTGATATACCAACCTGGCTTCAACAGAGTGTAAACAATAGATTACACCTGAATGTTTGGTGGACCATTGTGATGTCATCGGTTACCAAGGCATTACAAACAAATGACATCACCAACCTCTCTACCACTAAAGCTGTACAGCTTTTCTCTTTATAAGATGAAATGGTTTAGAGATGCATGTGGAATGATAAAAAGGATCTCGAATCTATCGATATGCAATAAAAGTTTAAAGGTCAGAATTGTTATCTTTCATCGGCTTGTGTTGACATTTTGATATCAAGGTTAGAATATCTGCGTATCTCTAAAGTTGCTCTTGTCAGCAGAGATAGAAATTCGCCCAAGCCCACTATACGGAATCAACTCAACTTACGTTTCAGTTGTGAAATCCATTATGTTCAGCTTTTCAAAGTGTTTCCACATGTCAGCAATACTTTGACTGGTCTAGGTTTCCTCTGAATCTCCCACCTCACTGGGGCACCTTTTCAATTTAAATGGGTTTATTTGTTACTATCAAAATTATTTACATTCAGGTTCTAAGGGTTAGTCTATACCAGGGTATGAAACTCAGAAAAATTTCAGCCAGATCACAGGGCTGGTTAGATGTAAAACTTGCCAGCCCTGACCAAAACTTGCCTGCCCACAAAAAAATACTAATTTACTTAGTATAATTAAATTAAAACTAATTTCATATACATGTCTAAATTTTAACCCAACCGTCGGGCAGGTGAATTTGAGAATCATGCAGTCCGTGTTGAAAATAACCCGCCCCGGGCGGTCGGGCAGGCAGGTATTTCGAACGCTGTCTATACTTCAAACACAACTTGTCTCAAAATTTGCTTAGATGCATGTACCACAAGGAAACCTTATATTTCTTACATAATCTTAATCCAGTATAGCGGCTTCTCTAGATGTGCCACTTATCAAGCCAGGGAAAATTAGGCTGCTAAACCATAGGGTTACTATAATTCCTTTTAGCATTATGTAACATAGTTAGAGTAGGAGATGAAGACAGCAAGGTGAACTTGGAATCTTTGTTATCTTCATTGTTACAAGCTGTAATAGTATGAAGCCAAATACTTCTTGCATAAATTTATTTCCAAGGTCCATTACATGATACCTCCTATCTTAATATCCTCCTTGTCAAGAGATGGGGGAGGAGCTGGATGAGACAATGTACATAAGTAGATTGTAACCATAATTAGGCCAGAAATCTTGTAGGAGACCTGGCTCCGATTTCTCGAAAAAACTTAAGTTTTCACTCAAATTTCAAACTGAGTTTGACAAATTGAAACAGCTGATTTTTTAACTCAACTGCATTTTTTTAAATAAAAAAGCCCAAACAACTTAAGTAGCCTATCTACCAAACTCAAATTGTCAACTATGTTTGAGTGTAATATTGATTTCAGTTCATTCTGGGAAATGCAGTTTCCTGCTTTTTCTCAAATTTGAGTAAAAACCCTTACTTAAGTCAAAACTCAGATTTAAGTTTGTTTCGAGAAATCGGGGCCTGACCTTTCATGCCCATGTAAACCGGAATAACTGGTATCAGGTGCGAGGAAAATGTTGTTATGAATGATAATCAAAGCATCAATTTCTGATAAAGAAGGAGAAAAGATCAACCCCTAATTTTTTTGGTTTGAAAGACATGACTGACAAGACCAGGAAATGTCCCTGTTGTTTATGACGTGTGTACATTTCGCCAGTAATTGTGGTTTGGCTTGGTGAATTTCACCCACTTAACAACCAGGAAGTATTGCTGTGTTTCGGAGAACTACAGTTGTGTCTTGACCATGTTCAGACTTCTTGTGGTTTTGTTAAAGACACTTTCTGGCAACAAGGGATGTAGTTTTTCATGTTTTTGAATTAGCAGTTGACAACTCACCGTGAATGTCACTTCTCTAAAAAAATTATAGATCTATATGAGAATACAATAGGTTTGTGAATTAATGAAGATAGTTGTATAATGAGAATCAAATGAAATTGTGAAAATAGTTTTAAGCAATTCTAATTTTATTTAAAAAATATTTTTATTGTAAATATTATGTTTTTCTGTATTTTTACACACCTACTTTTAGTTGAAGGATTTACTGAGATTATTCTTTTGCAATGACATGTCAAATTTTAAGATAAAGATTAACAAATATTTTTAGTCCACAGATTATGTGAAATGTTGCTTAAATCATTTAGACACACCTTTGTTTCAGATTTTCCTAATTACAAATTATCAATCTTTGTTAACAATCTTCATGCAATTCATTAATGTATTAATTTTTAAAAATTGAATAGTGAAATTAAAATTTTGGATAATTCTTTTTAGTCTGAGTATTAAAAATTGTTCATAAAAGACTAGCAATTTCTACATATCATATGAAAAATGGAAGGTTTTACAATACTTTGTTCAAAATTGATGTAACCATCAAAACAAAGACTAGACAACACAGGATGATCAAATTAAGCCATGCAATGGTTCCAGGGGAGACAACTCTCATTGCTAAGTCCTGATAGCTGACCGTGATTAGAAGTCATGTGGTGTAAGCCTGGATTATCTGATAGTGATAGTAGTCACACGTTTTTCAGTCAGTGGTCAGCGCACTTGATAACTGCTTCTCTTGAGATCTGTCTTAAATGTCCACCATGAGATTTTTCATGAAACATGGTTTCCGAAGGTGTTACAGTTGGATTGGTAATAGGAAAAAGAAAGGGTGAAGTATATTTGTGGATATGATTTTAATATTTTGTGAAAAATCTGGTTATGGTTGAAGCTTTAATGGGTCTTGGTTTTATTAAATATCCTTCTAATGGTTTTAATTTATAATAATAGGTTTATGTTTAATTTCAAGTTCATTGTTACCACTGCCTATTTAATAATACATTTTGACCTGTTAAACATATGATCAAGCACTATGATCAAGGCAGAGAATACCATACTAGGATTTGATCATATGGTTTTATTTTGAAGTGTTAGTGAGTAACAATGAACTCCAGATGAGCTGCATATTTCTGTCAAATACCTAAAACACACATTTATAACCTGAATATGTTAAACGACTAAAAAATATTCAGGACGAATTGACGATTGCATTTTAGTATAATTAATATGAAAAAAATCAGATGTACCTTAACCTTTGTTGAGGGGTATAATTTTGAAATACAAGGGGATATGATATTTAAAGTACTTTTTAAACAAGCAGTACAAATTAATGTGAAGAAAACAGAAATCTTAAAAAAAGATTTATGTAATATCCCAGTGTAGCCTCTTCAACTGGCACACATGTGTGTATTTACTGAATGTCTGCCTCACATACATGTGTGCATGAACTCTATACTACAATGAATATTTGAAATGAAACTCTGTGGTCTGGTTTTACAACATTCGTGACAAATATGTCTTGTAATTTCAGAGTGTGTCAGTTTTCATAAACAGCCAAAATAGTCACTGGTTGAATATTTCCAATAATTTTAGGGGTTTTATCACACTCATAAAAAAATTCCTGTTTGAAATCAGTGTTTCCGTTCTCCGGTACATACCTGAAAATCGCCAGTAAAATTCGTTGGGGACCGGTAAATTGAAAGCCAGACTGACACTGTGTCCAGTAAATAATAATGTATCAAAATAAAAAATCATGGGTAAGCGAAATCACTGTCGAAATTGTTATGTTTCGGAAATACCCAGGCTAAAAATAACTTTAAAATGAGTACTTACAGTATGATCATAGGTTATGACCGGCAAATTTCATTCATTACCGGGTAAAATTTTAGGTTGACAGACACAGTGTCCAATAAATAATTTAGTCAGCGGAAACACTGATTGAAAAGTTTCTTGATATGAACCAAGTAAGTGAGACATTCTGTATATTAAAATAGATGTATGCTGTTTGAAAGTAAAATGATATAATCATGATTTGTGAATGTGTATTGAGGAAAGATTTCCGCCCGTAACCTCCGGGTTTTTTTTCATTCTATGCCTAAGATTCATAGTAAGAATAAATGGGGTTTTTATAGAAAGACTACCCTAACCCTAAACCTAACATAATGCTTAATCTAAACCCTAATTAAACCTAAGCCCTAACCCCTTGAAATAAACATAATAAATAGAATGCATTTCAAGCATAGGTTACGGGCGGAACTCTTACCGTGTATGTATTCTATATATGTTTTTCTGTGGAAATAAATATAGCAAAAAATAATAACAATAATCATGTATGGAATGGTTAATTGGAATTTTTAATATAAGTTAGTCCGATGATCCCTCAGGTTTAGTTGTTAATGTTTGTATTTATGTATTTTATAGTCCACAAAATGACCTACCCCAGAGTTACCATCTGCCAGCAAATCTTGTATCCCATAAAAAAATGTGAATTTAATGAGTCTGACTAGCTGACTTATTTCAAAGCCTGCTCTTGATTATGACTCTGTTATAAACAAAGGCCATCTGAGAGCCTCCAATCACAACTGAGCTACCCTCCCATGTGAGTGTGGTGTTGCGTAAGTCAGCCTACTGAGATGTAGTCATCTGCAGAACCAGCTTGCCCAGCTCAGGATGGGAACTGATAGCCTTGCTTGTTACTGAGTTGTATCTGATTGTCCACAGATGTTTAAATGCTGGATCAGTGAATCAGATCTATACTGGACCCGTCAGTCTATGTTTTCCTGAGAGAGAGAAGAAGGGGTACCACCTTTTGTTTTGTCTTATTTTGAGGATATTTTGTGGATAGTGATGTAGTTAGTCTGTTCTTTACTGTAGTACACTTCATGTCTGTATATTTATGTTTTCTTGGTTGTTTTAATTTGTTTTGCTTAATTTGTTACTTTTCCCCCAATGGTGTTAATTTTGTGTTGAAAGATGGTTGTGTTTATTTACTTCAAGCCTCTCCTGCAGTAACATGTATTGACAATAGATAGTCAGCTCACCAGGAACAGTTGCTATGTCGTAAATCTTGTTACATTGCAACAAAGGATTGGTTGAGCAACACATTTATAATAATAATGATCATAATGATGGATTTGTATAGCGTCTAGTTTCCACTTTATGGTATAATTGATCTTTTGTGTATTGTGAAGTTCATTAACCTGTGGGTAGTTTGTTGAACTGATGAAACTCTTACGTGGTGGCTCATATTAATTGACCTGTCACACATATATAGAGTTGTAGGTGTCTTTGGGTAAGATATCAGTTCCATATAGCCATGCTCTTTACTCAGAACAGTTTGATTCCATGAATGATATTGGATAAAATGGAATAACATACGGTAAGGCCTTTGGGACTTTGGAATGAGTATCTCACTTTGTTACAACCATGTTCTTCTGTGAAATAAAAAAATCAGTTCAGGTTCTCATTCAGTCATTTATTATACGGGAGAAAATATAATGGGTGTAAATTTCTATATACTCATCCCATGAACATAATTTATCCCCCAAATGTACTGTATTTCTTAAAATTCACTCAGTTTGAATAACGTGTTAGGGCTGGGACAAGTCTGTCCTCAATCTCACTATCCGGGTATCCGACCCCTCAGGCCAGACCAGGCCTACAACTGCCTCTATGATTTGGTCATGCCACACAGAAGTTGACTGAAACTTTATCTTTATTCAAACATATAAAAGTCAGAAGGAATGTTTGCATTGTCAGATAGAATAGTGAACATAGTGGCTTGTTGTGTAACCATGGTTTTTGAATGAAACTAATATATGAACAATATATTACCTGATTAGCTGGTCCTACTCAGAACTAGCCTGACCCCAGTTACCTACCCCCACCCTGGCATATATTTAAAGGGACATAGGAGAGGTAAAAAATTATATCATTTGAAAAAATTATATAGTTGTGATTTAGGATACTTCCATCTTAGCGTTAGAGTTTCAACAGGTCTGTTTCTACCCTGTCCTTCTTACTCAAATGCTACGTCATTGGAAGTTTGCTTCTTCGCTATACTGCATATTCACCCCTGCTATTCTGCATATTCTTCACACAAAGCGACTGGCTGTTATGTCTCCCTTGTGTCAATGGCTTCTGTCCCCTAGTCTGTCTCACAGTCCCTGAACCACATTATTTTCCCTACTGCAAAGCCCTATCTGCAGTGCTGAAGCCCTATATAAAGCAAGTCTAGATATCCTCAGGTTCTGAATCTCTGGTCTCCCTGGGGCTCCTCAAATTTAAATGGGATTGTTGGTCAAAATTATGTCTATTCAGAGACTAAGCGTTAGTCTAATGTCCCCCAACAGTCATCAGGGGTTTCCAGTCAGAGCAGATCCCACCACTCATGCTTGTCTTATGACTTATGAGGCCCTGTAAGTTACAGTATGTGACCTTGCTTACTCGTGTATTGGAATGCAGATAGACATTTAACCCTACAAATAATGTTGTCTTATTTTACAATATATATCTAAATGAAATGAATAAACTGAAATACAGTCAAATCCAATATAAGTCCAGAACAGTTCTTTGTCAGTCAAGAACTGAGGAAGGTTTGACTTGGCCAATTATTCTTGACTTTAGTTTGACTACTGTTAAAAAATATATTTTCTGGGGCCTATGAGTGAGTGAGTGAGTTTAGTTCTGAGCAATATTCCAGCTATTTGGTGTCAGTCTCTAAATAATCGAGTCTGGACCACACAATCCAGTGATCAACAACATGAGCATCAATCTATGCAATTGGGATATGATGACATGTGTCAACCAAGTCAGCGAGCCTGACCACCCAATCCCATTAGTTGCCACTTATGACAAGCATGGGTTACTGAAGATCAATTCTAACCTGGATCTTGACGGGTATCTGGGGCCGAGGAGACTAGATTCCAGATGGTGTGGATCCCTACTGTCCACTTGTGGCGGGGCTTATTTCCAGGCTGTCATGTTGTAGCTGTAGCTTGTTGACTGTAGTGTGAGGCTTTCTCTCAATCATCTTGTCATCTTTGTATGGGATTTTATGTGTTCAGTTTGGAAAAATATGTTTCTTTTTGTGAAGGCTGGACTTTTGAACTTTGTACAGTATTTAGGTTCATTTTAACTTCATTTTGGTTTGTGGCAACTTTTTCTCATTCTGACATGACTGGTTCTGAAGTAAAAAACACACATGTATCACTTTGAGATTTGTTGAGTTCATTTGATATCTATGACTTTGATAATCCCACACATAACAGAAGAATATCATAATTGTCATATGCAATGCAAAGTATACCAATACATTAAGCTTTATACTTGTAGGGTTTAATAATGTTTTTTTTGCTATATATCATGGTGCAGAAGCTTTATCAATAATGAACATAACATGATTAATGATTGACATTAAAAATTGAATCTTATCAGGGCTGGAACAAATTGTTTTCTTGTTGTATAAATACATGAAAATGAATAAAAATTCCCAGAAGTGAAACAAGAATAAAAAATTTAAAAGGGTTATGTCTAATTGAGAACATAATGATAGTTAACATCTATTTGGTTGTGTTTTTTGAAACATGATATTTTATGTGTTTTTGTATGAACTTAATTATCAAGAGTAAGATAAGGAATTAGGTTACATGGGCCGCATATGGTGTTACTAAACATTACATGACAGAAATCATTTTCATGTTAAGCCTCCATACCTGTATGGCATGTAATATAATCCTTGTTGCATAGGTAAAGGTGCAGTGAAGTAAGAGTATCTAGACAATACTGGAGATCTAACTGCTACGATTGGTGTTTCAGTGAGGACAGAGCAACATCGCCACGACCTGAAGTGTACCACGACAAGGGTTGTCCCCTCTACCAGGCTTTTGCCTCACTGCACGATAAGTCCAAAGACCATGTAGACACAAGCACAGAGGCAGTGCTGAGTGATTTAAGTCATCCAAGTCGATCCTCCACATTGGAGAGCTTGAAATCAGAAACTAACAGTATCTGTTCGTGTGGTGTAATATCTCGAAATCAGAGTGTTAATATTGAATCGCCAGATTTGAATGGAAACGAAAAACTTCCTGGTGAGGGTGAAGCAGCACCAGCATCTATAGATACTGGGAGGAGTGGATTAGAACAAGCACCTGCATCTATAGATACTGGGAGGAGTGGATTAGAACAAGCATCTGCAGAAGCAGGGACTCATCTGGAAAGAGGTACTGAGGATACAGGTAAAGAGACTGAACAGGAATTAGGAAGTAGCCTAACAGGTACTGACGATACAATGGGAGCAGTTAAAAGTAAAATTTCTGATGCTTTGGATGAAATAGAGAGAAAGTGTGGGAAGGATTTGGAAAGAAATGTGGGTGAAAAGTGTGATGAAAACTTCAATGATGAAGGTGCAGCTGGTGCTGTGACTGGGCTGACAGCTCCTGAGAATATTTCTGAGATTTCCAGTGTGGAAACAGATGTGACAGAAGATGAAGGCTTTAGTGATGATGCAAATGTGACTGATGACAAAGGGTCGAGAAAAATTACATTTGTGGATCGAAACGCTTCTGTCCTAACGACTGATGCTTCCGACCTTGCCCAAACTTCTCTCTCTCAGGACGAACCCCAACTGTCTTTAACACTCTCTGGTGAGGAACCCAAATCTGTGATATTGAACAATGCAGCTACTGGAGAATCAACGACTGATTCTGAGTTTGAGAGAGTGGACCAAGAAAACCAAAATCCAAATGAATCAAGAAATGAAAGCGTTTTTGTTGACAGTTGTGATGAAACTGCAAATGTCAAAGAAGCCAATTTGGAATCAGATGACCGACAACAAGCAGACACGTCTGCTTCCTCAGCCGCTTTGGAATCTCAAGTGCAGGATCAGACAGATGGAGGGTTCAGGCCTTTTCAGACATCTGCCAAACATCTGAGTAATTTTGTCAACTACGCAACTGGATTGTTCCGAAAGGATTCTGATGATCGCTTCAACCTGGAAGACATCAATGAAGTTGTAGTGACGACGGCCAGCAAAACACCAGTTATGTCCATCACAACTATGGCCCATTCTGATCTGATGAACCTAGAAGTGGAAAGTGCCATCAAACTGGAAGACAAACCAGAACTGTTTCAAACGTTTGACAGTAAGTATGACTTGTCAGCTTAGGATTCTTATTTCAATCCAAAAACTATGCATATGGTTAGTGAACATTATTTTGAGAGCCATGAAAGTCACATTAGTTCATACTGAGGGTGGAAAACGTCATAGGCTGTTGGGTATCCTGTATTAGACAAGGCAAGGTATAGTTTGCTGTATGAAACTGATTTACTGAGATTTTTGCTACCTATCCAAAGCCGAGTATTAAAAAGTCTTTTGGATAACACTAAATGTATTCAAAATGATGCCCAAAGTCAAGTTGGGGCAAGCGGATAGATGTTTTATGGACTGACTGCTGATAATTTTGTGGTAAGTATGTGGTAATTAATATTGATAGAATAATGTGATAATTTGACTATCATTTGCATGTATACCTATAACAGCACTTTTGTTGAACAGATGGTGCCTGTGAATCTGTAGATATGTTATTATGTACATATTGTCAATAGGTATTAACATTTGGTTGTAAGTGGTAGGTTAGCATCATTTCATTTTCAGAATGTTAGTTTTATCCTCTATTTTTGTGTAGTCTTTCTTAACCAAAGATACTTCTTGACTTAATTTCCCCAACTAAATATTATTTTGTGTCCAGCTCTACTTTACGTATGAATGACCATTTGAACTTGTGCATGAATTTGACATGAAGATTAGCACTTAATTATCTGCTAATGACGTGCAATTTAATATTGTGAAACTTTTGCATCATGGAGTATTTTAAAGTATCATTTTTATCTTCTCTGCTTTCCAGGTCTAGGTATGTGATATAGAAGGTCTGAATCTGTGTCAGCTGTGCTTATAGCAGATTTACCTCAACAAATATTTTCATATGTGCATGTTGTATGCCTGTGCATGAGAAATATGATGGGAACAAAAATGTTGTATTGGAATATATATATATAAATATCTTCTGAATTTAACTGTTGATATGTTATTTTCATTAAAAGTAAAGGAAAAAGGCAAAAAAATCTGAGGCCTTGATATAATTGCTTGAGTTTATTATATAAAGCCTACTCATGATCACAAAAAGAAATGAAAAACAGATCTTTATATAACTGCTTCAGTTCAATAATATGGCATCTACCTAAGGTCAGTTTTTGGTCATCCTTATCAAACAGTAAACTGTGCCTGAAGAATCATTTATTCTGGAATTTTCTGTCATGGTAAATAATGCTAAGTTATGAAATATGTGTATCAGTTTGTTAGTGATTAAATTATGGCATTCTGGAGTGATATTGAAAATAACAAATTTTGACTGTAACAGATAGCTAATGTAAAGTGTGATTTAACCCGATTTCATGCCTCATTAATGATATATACCCTGGATACAAAATAGGTTTTTATGATATGACCTGACTTAAGGGATGGATACATCAGTTTATCATCAATGAATTTATCCAGTGTTTTCCCAATAACCTTTTCACTGCTTCGTATTAACAAACAATATCCTTTACTATCCTTTAGTCAGACTAGGTATTTCATTAGGACTCTTTCTGTTGATATAAATTTGGCTACGTAACTCAAAGTGATAAGTCCATATCACGGACACATGCAGTGAAATTTTCTTAGATTCAGATGATTCAGACTTATGCTTTTGACATTTGTTCTGAAGTAAAAGATCTTTAATAAAATGCATGATGGCCAGGTTTAATGTTCAACTGCAATACAGCAAGGTCGTGTTGGCTGCTCTTCTTCAGTCTCTGTATCTGACTTTCAGCATTCATTCAGATTTACTTAAAGTTCTGCTCTTTCTGCTGTATATGCTATCATTCCGTCCTTTGTGTGTGTGGAGATATGTTATTTTGAGTACAAGTTTACCCTACCCGTTTCTCTGCATGTTAAAGGTCACATGCAACGCAAAACACAACTTTGCAGATTCTGATACCTTTTGGTATGGACTTACAGTAACAAATTATCAAACATGCAAATTCAATATATAAAGTTGAAAAATAACGCGATGAAACAACACACACACACACACACACACACACACACACACACACACACACACACACACACACACACACACACACACACACACACACACACACACACACTAATTTCACCCCAGCGCTGGGGTGAAAAGTGGTTTCAACAGCTGTGCCGCGCAGCGCAGTGATTAGGTTCGCGCGTCTTGAACCAGGAAGGCGACTCATAAAAACACAGCAAGTGATGCATGCAAGGATTATTGCTGTGGTCGAAGTTAGAGGACAAAAGATGTTTCTTGTGATTACAAGCATCTTTGGTCTGCAGTAATAAAAATACACTGGTCCCATACTTTTTCTAATGTTTTCACATCTTGCTTTTTGGGGGTGGGCAGATTTGCAAACCAAGTTTTCAAGAAAGAGTAGCATTAGAAATTACTAATTTCTTTGTTTAAAGTTGCTCAGCTTGAAAACTGAAATGTTTTAATACATGTCTATGGAAACATAAAAACATATGTTGATTGTGATAAGCAGTCTCTGTCACAGACAAAACTCAATGTCTGTTTTATTGACACCAATGTCTCTGCCTGCCTATCTGCTAATGACAATATGCAATACACAACTTCAATCATTGACCACATGCAATTTGAACTTGAAACGTATCAGGCTATACACCATAAACAAAATACATTGATTTATGGCTCGTGCACCTGAGTTCTGTCTCTGTCACATTATGTAATTACACAGACAGGCAGGTGTGATACTTGTACACATGACATGTTATTATGTCTGTGGGTTGCAAACAAACAGCATCCATTTTTCTCGGATGACTGGATCGGACGGAAACCGGTGCACACTCAGATTGTCAGTTTCAAGTCCTGCTTTGTACTTGGACGAACGACAGTTTCCAGCCACGCAGTAGTTCACCATCTCAGTATTTGTTGATTGGATCGAACGCAAATGCAAAAAAAATTAGCATGTATTTACAAAACCCAACATCTCTATATACACACACACACACACACACACACACACACACAATGAGCCGTGAGTGCATCGGCAAATAAAAGACTTCTGTTACACTTGAGTGCACACCCACCCGCTCTGACTGGTTTCGGTCTCCCGGGTGCTTCGTTTCGAGGGAAGTAAACCCAAGTACCAAATATTGCACTTTTGATTTGCGATTGTACGCTTATAATTTTGTTTATTCTTTTTTCATAATCAGCAGTGTATATTACATGTCATGAATAAGTGATAATTGTGTTTTAATTATGTTTGTTTTTTGGTTGCATGTGACCTTTAACTTGTAACTTTTAGTAAGTACTGCAGTCATGTAAATTGAAAAATCTGAATACTTTGGTTTAAATCTGAATTTTAAAAATATCCCCAAACTGCACTTACAGATATAAAATATGGCAAAAGTCGATATGTACAGCAAGTGTTAAATAATCATAGCTTTGTTCATTTTGGGGTAAATATTTCATCAAGTTTGTGGCTCATGCTGAGAAAGAGTTCCTTTACAAAATCTTTCTTTTTATTGATGGTTTCCAACATTTTACAAATTGCCTAATAATCTGAATATATCTTCAGACACATTATTCTCCAATGCTTCACATTTCTGATCACCTCACCTTCCACTATCCATCACTTTCTTAAATCAAATGCACTAAAGAACCCAACAAATGAAGTCATTTTTATATAAAAAAGTAGCCATTATTTTTTGTGCCATTTCCATATGAGTGGTAACTACTTCAATGAAACATTTTACTATAGGATGAATGTGTTCAGGTTTTGAAACAAACTCGCTGTGTGTTATTGCTGTGTGTCGAGCAACTGCACTCTGGAGAAAACGTGATTCTGTGTGGTAAATCATATCATAATCTTGTTCAGCAGATGTAAAAACAACATATAAAATGTCTGTTGAAACACTTCATTTAATGGTCATAGATATCTGTCAATGTAAATCTTAATTACAGAAGGTTTATCTGCAAAACTATAATTGTCTGCACTCAGTGTGGTTGAAAATCAATAAACATTATTCATACGGTATGTTATCATGTACATATAGATGTAATGTAGATGTTATTTGGAAAAGCATTTACATGGCCTTTTATACTTGACCATGGAATAAAATAATTATAATGAAATAAATATGATATCTTATATAACATACATAACAAGGACATACTATGAACATAGAGAAAAATGAAATATCAGAATTCAGTTGCATGACAATTCAGTGCATGATTCTGTTTTATGAAGACCCTGGAATCCATGTCCGTTTGATTCTGGTTCGTGTTTTGATGACTTATTGTGTGCATGGCTCTATTGTTTCATACAGTTTGTTACATGACTCGGTTCTCTTGCTTAGCACAGCAGCGATCAACAGGCCAGGCGGTTATATTTTCATGCACATTTTGCTTAAGATCCATCTGTCTCATGCTTTCAGTGAGATGTACTGCAAGCGTTCTACTTCTTTAGCTGACTCACACAATTTGCCATTTATGTATGTTGCAGGATATTAGTTGAGAAAGTCACCTTTTTATTACTGGATATGCTAGTGGTATATTTTATCCTTGAGATACCAGGAAGAGGTTTTGTTGTGTATGTTTGAATAAAATGACAAGGAGAGAATATATTGACATTTGAAACTCCCAACCTTTATGATACAAATGTTGTAGCATATTTACTTTTTGAATATGAGTAACAATAATTGATAATATATTAACGATTATCAAGCAAGAATTAGGGCAGTGGGGTAGAGCAGTGGTTAAAGTTTTCGCTCATCACGCTGATGACTCAGGTTTGATTTTCTACACAGGTACTAAGTTTGAAGGTTATTTCTGGTATTCCCCACTGTGATATTGCTGAAATACTGATTACAGTTGTGTAAATAAAAACTCAATTATAAAAATGTCTACATTTAGAAACCGTAAATAACATGGATTTTCCTCTGACAGAGCTGATTGCCCGGCCTGCCACTCGGTCTGAGGACCCCCCACTTTACCTCTGCCTCAGGGTGGGGCACCCCAAGAACAAGGAGGTATCCCAGACCTGTCCCATCGAGTCCTACAGGGCCACCAAGAAGAAGCCTGAATACTGGTTCTCCATCCCCAGAGAAAAGTGAGTCTGTGCAAGCACATATTAATCTACTGCGTCATCAGCTGAAGAATATACTTTGTGTTTTTGGTGATGAATTGTTCAACCACCATTGCCTGTTATGTCTGTCTGTCTGTCTGTCTGTCTGTCTGTTATCAGTGTAGCATTTTCTCTCCAGAAACCAGATGAAGCGGAAATTATTCCCACCAATGATGACACCTCAATTTGTTCAAGAAGTTATAATCCAATTTTCAATATGGCCACAATGATAGCCATATTGAGCAAACATTTTATGGCAATTACTCAGGAATATTTAGTCAGAGGTGGTTTTGTTTTTTTGCAATATTTTTAACTGCTCTTTTATTAAATGCTTAAAGGTCACATGCAACGTAAAACACAACTTTGCAGATTCTGATACCTTTCGGTATGGACTTACCGAAACAAATCGTCAAAAATGCAAATTCAACTTATAAAGTTAAAAAATAACGCGATGAAAAAAAACGCGCGAAATCGGAGTTCAAACGTTTCACTAATTTTCCCCAGACTTTTCTGGGGAAAACGGGTTTCAACAGCTGGGCTGCGCTCATAGCACGTGCGCAGTGAAATAGTTTCGCGCAGCTTGGAAGCGGGTTGTCGGGTGAATACTCGGTGAAGGCTTTGGTGTGAGCTATTTTTCTAATGTTTTGTTGATATCTCACAGGCGCTGAGCTTTTATATGTTATGACAGTAAATTAACTGTTTATATAATTTCATTTGTCTATTTCACCACACGCATTCTTACCGAAGTCACTTTCTCAGTTCGATACTTAAAAGCAATGTCATTATTTAGCGTTGTACAGAATTTCCAACTGTGATATAGATATGTCGCTGTCACAGACAAAACTCAATGTCTTGTTTTATTGACACCTGTGTGTCTGCCTGTCTGTCTGACAATATTCAATACACAGCTGCTATCACTGACCACATGCAATTTGAACTTAACACCAATCAGGCTATACACCATAAACAAAATGCATTGATTTATGGCCCGAGTTCGGTCTCTGTCACATTATGTAATTACACAGACAGGCAGGTGTGATACTTGAACACATGACATGTTATGATGTCTGTTGATTGCAAAATGTTATACACAAAAAATGAGCATGTATTTACAAAACCCAACATCTCTATATATACACACACAATGAGCCGTGAAGGCGGCATCTGCTAATGAACCAGCCGTTACACTTGAGTGCACACCCACCCGCTCTGACTGGGTTCGGTATCTGGCTGCTTCGTTTCTTGGGAAGTAAACCGAAGTACACAATTTTGCACTTTTGATTTGCGATTGTACGCTTATAATTTTGTTTTTATGTTTTTTTCATTACCAGCAATGTATATTATATGTCATGAATAAGTGATAATTGTGTTTTATTTATGTTTGATTTTTTTGGTTGCATGTGACCTTTAAAATGCAATGATTCTGCATGATCTAAACTTCTCTGAAGTTGCCAGTCTGAGGGAGAAGAACTTTGGCATGGATCTTTTCCAAATCATATTCAGTACAATTTATTAGAATTTAGTGTTGGTTGTTAGTGTTCATGCTTAAAATATTTATAACTGCAACTTTTGTTCAATGTCTATATTTGCTTATTAGCCAGTTGAGCCATGTTACCTGAAAGCAGGTCTTCGTCGCTAGACTACAGAAGTGATGTGAAACTGTTCATATGTAATGTAAACCAACAAATCTATCGCCTTCCAGTGCAAGTATTTTCAGAAAATTGACATCCAGTTATTTGGGGTAGAAATCAGTTTCATTCACCTGTAAGAATTAATCTGCTTCAGAGTCACCACTGATTTAATGTCAGATCGGTTCTAGTCCTCAAGGAAACGTCACTCGTCCTTTCTGGGTTTACTGGCAGAGTTATGCTAATTTGGAACACTACAATGTAGTGTAATGTAATGTAATGTAATGTGTTCTGAATTATAATAGGGATAATCCATTAAAAGAATTTAAACCTACATGGACAACAAACAGCTTGTGACGTCATAGCTGTTGCAGCATAAGTGAGGGTGTGACATCATAACAGTGCCTTGCAGTGTAGCTCTTAGGGGCGATAGGGTAGCCTAGTGGTTAAAGCGTTCGCTCGTCCCGCCAATACCTGGGTTCGATTCCCCACATGGGTACAATGTGTGAAGCACATTTCTGGCATCCGCTGCCGTGATATTGCTGGAATATTGCTAAAAGCGGTGTAAAACCAAACTCAGTCAGTCAGTGTAGCTCTTAACCATGACAGGTTTGGCTTAATCTTAAGGGTACCAACCAAATGTTAAATGCCAGTAGCTAGTGCTTGGGTGTCACTGCCAGTTTGACATGCAACAAGAGTGAATGAATGAGTGAGAGTAAGTGAGTGAGTGAGTTTAGTCTTATGCTGCACTCAGCAATGTTCCAGCTACATGGCAGTGGACCAGACAATCCAGTGATAAACAGCATGAGGATCGATCTACGCAAGTCAGTGAGCCTCACCACCCGATCCTGTTAGTCGCCTCTGACGACAAGTATGGGTTACTGGAGATCAATTCTACATGCAACAAGAGTATATTCATATACAGGAACAATGTTTGAGCATATAAAGCTGTTTTTTTGTTTGAAGGCTAATATTGGGGTTTGCTATTTTGGGTCTTCTACACATTCAAAACTTTGATCTAAAACGTATGCTGCTTCACTCAATATCTTCACTGACATCAAATATTCCAATTCAGGGTTCGAAATACCCCATATACTAGTGTGCCATGGCACGGTAAATACAGAAATGACACGGCTAAAAAATGTTCTCGGTGCCCTTTTGACACGCCTAATTTTTTAAGAGACATAACTCACATTTAGTCATTTAATCCCCAAAACAATTATTTTTTTCTAAATTGAATAATACCATACATATTTGAATGCTCATAAACCCATTTCTTTATTTAACAATAAATTTCAAATGATCATCATCATTGTCATTTATTCTAAAAACATGTGGGCATACTCGATTTCAGAAAGGCACACCTAAAATATTTGTCTGGTGCCCTAAGGCACACTTAGAAAAAGAACTATTTCTATCCCTGCAATTTAATCGTGACGTATAGTACAATGAAGATGAACATATTTGCAGTGTATCTGTTACCTGTAGATTTATCCCAGCTAATTTTAACATTTATGTCCTTAAAATTGTGTGTCTTGTTCCAAATTCACTTTAGTCTGAACACTGAGAACAGTGTTGTTATCTCCTGACTATTCCATAACCACCATTTCATGTTCGATTGATGAAAAACAATATGCATGGAGAAAATAAATCAGTGATTTTAAATAAAAGGTAGAAGTTTGTAATGATTGTCAAGTCATTTCTTAAAAGTGGATAAGGCGCCAGTTACATGGACCTGTTATTGACGAGAGTGCTGACAGGCTGTCAATCATGGCTAACAGCTGGTGACACAGTACAACACAGTTATACAACACAGCATTATAACACATAACATCACACCCAGCATAGGTACAAGAGGGGCTTATTCCATGAAGGCTGACAGACTTATTGACAATACTCTCTGTATGGTAGTTGGTCTTTAAACACATGCTGACATGGCTGGTCTTATGGAGGAAAGTTGCACAAATGACTGCCATGTCTTACACCTAGTATTTTCATGATATGAGCATGCTTGTTTGTGACGCTTAAAGACAAGGTATGTCTGCTTTGATAATATTTCAGGGTTATAAGAAGAAGTTTTGATGGTAAGCTCAAAATCATGTCTTAAAGTGTCCATAGTAATATATGTTAATAAGTGTTTTGAGAAGCATGTAACTTCATGGGTAGCAACTTCTCTATACAATAAACAAGAAGCTGTGGTCCATACATTTGTGGTCCATGAAGTTGTGGTCCATAAAGATGTTGTTTTCCTTGTGTCCATAATAGCATGCCAGTGTTCATTGATTGGAATAGTGTGATCTCTATTGACTTGAAGCAGAATCTTTTTATGAATGAAACTTGTTTGTCTTTAGGGTTGACCAACTGTATGCTTTCTTCGTGCAATGGACACCCGAAATCTATGGTGATGAAGACGACATTGATCCAGAGACTCGTGGTTTTGTTGTCATCAGTGATGACGATCAGCTGGAGAAAGAAGAACAGTTGGAGATCGTAGATGAACACTTTGCCAGTATTCAGAAGATCCACAAAGACTGGGAGGTAAAGATTCATCTTATATTCATATTGATATTTAATCATAATTCATATCCCTGCCATAAGGGCGACAGGGTAGCCCAGAGAAGAAAGTGTCCTCTCATCATGCAGAAGACCTTGGTTCGATTCCCCACGTGGGTACAATGTGTGAATCCCATTTCTAGTGTATCCTGCCTTGATATTGCTGGAATATTGCTATAAGTGGCGTAAAACCATACTCACTCACTCACTATCCCTGCCGTGCTGTTGTGTGAATAGAGCTGTTTCTCCACATTCCCCTTGCTGTGAATACAGCTGTTTCTCCACATTCTCCTTGCTGTGTCTGAAACTAGAAAATATGTCAGCCCAGAGACTTCACATACACATTGGGGTGGTTCATTGGTGCTGGTGGCTGCTAGTTGTAATCTGTGAACATCTTCTATGTTAAAAAACAGCTACTGTGTTAGGGGTCATGAACAGTCTCTATCAAAGAACCTTCCCTTGAATCTGTTTTTATTTCAGTCCACTTTTGACAGAAATTTCCCTGCCCCAATAAGCATGCTTTCACAACATATTTGAAAACAATAGGACTTTTTTTTACCTGAGTGAGTGAGTGAGTTTAGTTTCACGCCGCTTTTAGCAATATTCCAGCAATATCACGGCGGGGGGACACCAGAAATGGGCTTCACATATTGTACCCATGTAGGGATTCGAACCCGGGTCTTTGGCGTGACGAGCAAACGCTTTAACCACAAGGCTACCCCACCGCCCTTTTTTTAACCTGAACTCAGAGTACTCCCAATAATTTGTTCAAGGGTCCTTACAGGGCATATTAGGGTTTAGTAAATTAATGAAATAATGTACTGTTCTTTAAGATTTGATTATTATTTCAATAACAGGACTTTTTTATTTCTTGCCAAGAATGTAGACGCATTTTTTTTCTGTGCCTTCAAGGATGCAGTATATATTTCTGCATCACATCTACGCACTTGTGCCCACTGGAAACACATTTCTGTCTCAATTTTAACCCTGATGATTTCAACAAATTGCACCAATTATTAAAAACAATGCATCCTATCCTTCCATAAGGCTGTGTCTATGCTGGTATATATTTGTCCTTTTAGGCCAGAACCACTAAAGATCCGTTAGAAACAATGTATTTTATCTGCTGTTGACTGAACTGTCGACATTGTTGTGTGTCGAACACTGTTGAAGTATGAGTTATAGTTGGTAGTGGGAGTGTTGATTGTCAGATGTGACAGAGTGATGGATGTTGCAGATCATCAGCAAGGAGGAAGCCATTCGACGCATGTCAACTGTGGACATAGAGGACTCACTCCAACTGCCAGAGATGGTTGGGGAATCCAAGTTGCTGTCGCAGGAACAACTCATTGAGGTAGATATGCAATCATAATGGCATTGTGTTCTGTGTATTTCTGTCCTATAGCTAGAATCAGTGACCCGGACCTAGGTGTACCTGTCTTGAAGCATTGAGTAATCTATCCCAGAAGCTCATAACACTGTTCTAGCCCCAGGTTATGAAGGTATTAGGCAATTACTATGTCTATCAATAACCCTCTGAAACAGTAAGCTCTGGGATCCAGTATCACATACCTATCTTGATTTTAATGTTAGTAATAAGGAAACTAACTTAATCAAATATTAGCAGGCAGCTAAAATAGAAAAAATACTCATTTGACTGTTGTGTGTTAACATGTGTTGCCTCTTGAATGTTTTGGTATGTATATGCATCATCCTTCATGACCTGTCATTTCAAATAATAGAATTTGTTTGATGTTGTAAATTTATTGGTTAAACATATCACTAGGTTCATTTTTACATAAGGGTTATTAAGTGTAAGTGGTGTTAATTGGTGTGTTGGTGTGTTGGTGGTGTGTGGTCCTGTGCATAGAGTTCAGGTCACAAATCAGTTGAAGTTATGCAAAGTTGAGAGGCCTTGGATGGGTGACCGTGTTTGTCAGCTTGACTCCTGAGAGTATCTAGGACTTCGGCCTGCCCCACAATGAAGCACATGTGATACATATTGTCTCACCTTAGGCAAGTGAGTTTGTTCCAAATGGCATCTGTTCACCCAGCAGATAAATGGGTACCTGGTGGGATAAGTCATGTGACTATTAACCTTCTAGTGCCTCACAGGCAGCTTGGGTTATCCGGGATAATAATAATCAGATTTTGATTACAGCGTCCAGTGAGCAACTAATCAGCTGGATACTAGGGGGCTATATAAATGAATTATTATTATTATTAATGTTTGCCCAAGTCAAAACTGAGCCAACATATACCTGAACTAGCTTTGAACCAACATATCTGAACTAGCACTGAGCCAACATATATCTGAACTAGGACTGAGCCAACATATATCTGAACTAGCACTGAGCCAACATCTATTTGAACTAGCACTGACCCAACATATATCTGAACTAGCACTGAGCCAACATCTATTTGAACTAGCACTGAGCCAACATCTATTTGAACTAGCACTGACCCAACATATATCTGAACTAACACTGAACCAACATGTATCTGAACTAACACTGAACCAACATGTATCTGAACCAACATGTATCTATATCTGAACTAGCACTGAACCAACATATATCTGAACTAGAACTAGCACTGAACTAGCACTGAGCCAACATATATCTGAACTAGCACTGAAACATATCTGAACTAGCACTGAGCCAACATATATCTGAACTAGCACTGAGCCAACATCTATTTGAACTAGCACTGACCCAACATATATCTGAACTAACACTGAACCAACATGTATCTGAACTAACACTGAACCAACATGTATCTGAACTAACACTGAACTAGCACTGAGCCAACATCTATTTGAACTAACATATATCTGAACTAGCACTGAACTAGCACTGAACCAACATCTAAACATCTATTTGAACTAGCACTGACCCAACATATATCTATATGAGCCACTAGCACTGAGCCAACATCTATTTGAACTAGCACTGAGCCAACATCTATTTGAACTAGCACTGACCCAACATATATATGAACTAGCACCGAGCCAACATCTATTTGAACTAGCACTGAGCCAACATCTATCTGAACTGCCTTTGAACCAACATATGTCTGAACTAGCACTGAGCCAACATGTATCTGAACAAGCACTGAGCCAACATGTACATCTGAACTAGCACTGAACCAACATCTATCTGAACTAGCTTTGAACCAACATATATCTGAACTAGCACTGAACAAACATCTATCTGAACTAGCACTGAGCCAACATGTATCTGAACAAGCACTGAGCCAACATATATCTGAACTAGAACTGAACCAACATGTATCTGAACTAGCTTTGAACCAACATATATCTGAACTAGCTTTGAACCAACATATATCTGAACTAGCACTGAGCCAACATGTATCTGAACTAACACTGAACCAACATGTATCTGAACTAGCACTGAGCCAACATATATCTGAACTAGCACTGAACCAACATATATCTGAACTAGCACTGAACCAACATGTATCTGAACTAACACTGAGCCAACATGTATCTGAACTAGCACTGAACCAACATGCCAACATATGTCTGAACTAGCACTGAGCCAACATGTATCTGAACTAACACTGAACCAACATGTATCTGAACTAACACTGAACCAACATGTATCTGAACTAGCACTGAGCCAACATATATCTGAACTAGCACTGAGCCAACATGTATCTGAACTAGCACTTTTTCCTAGCCTTGAAGCTCATCGTAGCTAACACTGGTCTGATATTTACTTGAGGTTTTACTTAGTTTACTTTTACGCATACTAGAACTGAGATTTCACTGAGCTAACACTTACTAACACTTTCTGTATCCTTGCAGCTGTCCCAGAACATGCCTGCTCGCACCATCGGGTACACCTGGAATCTCATCTACAGCACGGAGCTGCACGGCTTCAGCCTGAAGACCCTGTACCGAGACATGTGTCACGTGGACAGCCCCATACTCCTGGTGGTCGCTGACACCAGCAACAATGTAAGCCCTCGCCATATCTTCACCCATTTTCCACCACTACTTCTTAATAAACCTGAATACAGACAAGATGTAATGCTCTGTGTTGTTCAGGGCTGAACTCTTGTGAATGACACATTCATGAAGCTGAAAATGAACCACTACCCTGTGTGTAGCCTGTTTTCTAGTCTCTAGACATTATTTTCCCTTCTGCCCAGCTATTGCAATGTGAAAGCCCTAAATGAAACAAGCCTATATTTGCCTCAGGTCCAGAATCTCCCATCTCACTGGGGGTTCTTTTCTTTTTTATTGATTTATTTGTTTCTATCTAACTGAATTTATTCAGAGACTAAACATTAATCTATCCTATGTGATGCTGGGTCATCTTGGGATTGGGATGCTCTCCTTTTGTCGGGCTGAAGGCACTGTTTATGTTCCCTCTATGAAGGGTTTTTCACGTCCGAAATTGTGTTTTCAGTTTTGACTAAATGCTTTTTATCTTCCTGTCAATGATCACATAAATAATAACTTTAGTCAACAATTCTGTGAACAGATTTATCAGTACTTAAACAATAAGGATGTTGTCAAAAAGCTATTTTGATATTTTCAGGTTTTTGGAGCTGTGACAAATTGTGCTTTTAAGCTGAGTGATCATTTTTATGGCACCGGGGAGAGTTTTCTGTACACATTCTATCCTGAATTTAAGGTAAGAATTCATGAGGGTATAAGGTAAAGAATACATTACATTAGAAAACATTATCATTTCTTTCAAATCATTGCTGTTGGTGTAAACTTAACTATCAAATATATTATTTCATTTGTGTACAATTTTTAGAAAAATGTTATCTTCAGATAATAAAAGCTGCAAGTAACTTTAGCCTCTAGGGAAAAGTGTAAGTGTGGATAAATTTATTGTTATATACTTAGTAGATCACAGTCTGTTTTGTAAAAACATACGAATGTTCTGGTTTGTTCTTGTTTGGCGTCACACCCAGCAATATAGTAATAGTAAGTAGTCCCTTTGAGTTTGTTATGATCATAGTTCACTGTATATAGGTTGCAGTTAACCTGTATTCTTGAAATTCTTGTGTGAAGCCCATTTCTGGTGTCCCCTGCCGTGATGTTGCTGGAATATTGCTAAAAGCGGCGTAAACCAAACTCAGTCAGTCAGTCTTTAAATTCTTGAGTAGCATCGAGAATTTGGTGTGATGAACAAGGGAGATAAACAAGTGCTTGATAACAGTGTTAACATCTACACCGAAATGTTGCATGTATTGGAATAAAGAAATTGTATATCCATAGACCCATCTCCCCTGGTCTATATTCATTCATTATATACCTTTTTCAGTTTTTTTGCCACATGGATATTGTATGAATATGATCATTCAGACATATTTGGTTAGGAGATAATATTTTCTGGTCTATTTTGTAGGTGTTCCACTGGACTGGAGAGAACAACTTCTTTATTAAAGGCAACAAGGAGAGTCTGGCTATTGGAGCGGGACAGTGAGTATTTACCATCAACCAGTAGTGGTGGTCCGATTAATTGAAATAATCAAAGATTGGTCACAGTGACTAAATGACCATGCAATCGATCATGTTTTCTCATAATCGAACACAAACAATTCTGGAACACTTGTTTTCATAAACAATATTTTTCACAAGGTTGGTTTTGTCTGTTACATTTCATAAGCACTACAAGCTCGTTTCAAGTCATGATTGAATTTATCTTAAAGACCCCAAGAAATTTATGTTCCTAACATACTAGTCATCCTTTAAAGATGTGAAATTTTGCCAAAAAACCCAAAAGAACTACATGTTTTTTCCATATTTTTATGTGCACTAACAAATTTCATTAATGACGCTAACCAATTTTTTTCGATGATTAATCGGTTGTAATAAACCAATCATCAATTATGAGTTTTAACCAATTCCCAACACTATCAAACAGTGTGTCTAATCTTAGTGTTTGTACTCTGTTACGCGTTTGGATTCGCTTGGAGGCTGTACAACTGGAAAGCAACCCCAACCTTACATGAAATATGTCAGTAATATCCATTCCTAATGCAAAGTCGGGGATACCTTCCCATGAAAGCAACACATCTGTATAGGCTATACTTCAGTGGCCCCTGAAAAAAAACATGAAATCAGAGAACTTAATGGTTAAACATTTGCTAACTATGCCAAATACTTGGATTTGATTCCTCATGTCTGTAGTGTGTCAAATAGAATAGATTCAATGAACAAACATAAATTCATCTGGGACATTGTAAATCAGTCACAAAGCTTTTTCAGAATCACCATAATTACATTCCCAAAGAGAAACAGAAGTTTAAATGTCCCTTTATAAGGCCTTAGGGATTAAAAGTAAAACATCAAGATTCTTGTAATGACAACTCTGCAGACATCAATGGTACTTAGACTTGCGGTAGGTTAGCCGTGTGGTGAAGTATCTATTCGTCATGCTGAAGACCTGGGTTTTATTCAATACATGGGAACCATTAGTCTGTCGTACAGACCCTGAAGCAAATATATCCCAAGAAAGGCCACGCAAGTCTAGAAAATGTGGCAAGTCTAGATTTACTCAGTGATTCTGAAAATGAAGAAAGTCTCAGGGCTCCTTTTCATTATGTATATTTTTTTTACTATGAACTTTTTCCAGTAAAATATGTTCACTTCAGAGACTAGCTGTTAGTCTAGGGAACCATTAGTCTGTCGTACAGACCCTGAAGCAAATATATCCAAGAAAGGCCATGCAAGTCTAGAAAATGTGGCAAGTCTAGATTTACTCAGCTTCAGGAACTTTTTCCAGTAAAATATGTTCATTTCAGAGACTAGTTGTTAGTCTAGGGAACTATATGTGAAACCTATTTCTGGTGTTCCTTTCTGTGATCTTGCTGGATGATTGATGAAAGCTGCGTACAACTGTACTTACCCACTCACCTCACTCACTCAATCACTCACTTGACCACTCACTCGTTAGAAAGGTAATTGTCACATTTGGGGAAAGGTGAGTGAGTTTAGTTTTATGCCGATTTTCGCAATATTCCACCAATATCACAGCGGGGGACACGAGAAATGGGCATCACACATTGTACCCACATGGGGAATTGAACCCGGATTTTCAGCATGACAGGTGAACGTTTTAACCACTAGGCTGCCTCATCACCCGAAAGGAGCTTGAGGCATAATATGGGAAGGGAGGTAATTTGCTTCTCGTTACAAGAGTAGCCTCCCTTCTAAAAGAGCCCATCATTTATCAACTCCTGTACTTTGTGTTTCAGGGGTCAGTTTGGATTGTGGCTTGATGGGGACCTCTACCATGGCCGCTCACATCGCTGTGAAACGTTCGATAATGATGTACTCACAGACAAGGAGGACTTTGTACTGAAGGGGTTGGAGGCTTGGGCCTTTGTATGAAGGTAAACACAACAGATTGTTGATATATTTGATGAAGTGTACAGTATATTGTTTCCTCATAAATGTTTTTAGTATGTTTATTTGCCCATAATAGTTTTCATCAGTTTGCATGAATCTATATTTTATACTAAGAATTTTGTGAGAAGAGGTTATTAAGTTTACAATGAACTGTCAACATCAATACAATTTCTATTTCTATTTCAATGATTTTTTGTTAGGAAAATTCTTTTAAAAAGCCAGCTCTGATACTGTTTGTGTAACAAGCTTATGTATTTTTGATTTTTGAAAATTTGACTTTTGTTTGAAAATTCTAATAAAAAACAGCTTCATTGTTGGGATTTTATTATGTATATCAGACATGTTTTCAAATTTTATGTTTAATTGTATTTTCAGAAATGAACGGTTACATTGGCTTGTCAATTTCGTGGAGCATCAGTATAGATGCTAGATAGCGTCAGTGGTCACCATCAGCTGTTTGCCGCCAACATGACAGAAGAGCAGCATAGATTCACTGATTCCAGGAGTGTGGTTGGTGCAATACTGAGGACTCAACTCTGGATACGTCACTGATGCCGGAGATAGTGCAATCTTGATTGACATATGTCAGTATGGTGTAGATTTCCTGTGGAACCATTTGATGACAGGACATCAGAGGACTCTGAGAAGATTTGCACTCCTTGTTTGTGAAAGTATTACTATGGACATAGTATTACTGTGGATGTTTCATGATGAATCACCAGGCTGCTACACTATCGTATAGGTAGTGTCAGGTGTATATCTCAAGCACATAAGTGTCAATGTCTGTGGAAGATGGACTAGTTTGAAATGAACATGGTGTGGCTGTTTCGTCATTGTTGTGGGATATGACAGGGGCTTATGTGACTTGACGAGGTCAGGGCAGTGAAATCAACACAGTGTGTGTGTTGTTTAGTATGATAGATGACAGGTGTGTGTTTCAGATAGCTTTGAAATATAGATCAATGGCAAATAGACAATATCAGTGTCAATGTCAACACATAGCTGAAATAGACGACCCTATTTAGCGATGTCTTTGTGGCAGTTTACAAACAGTTGTGCAGATATTAAATGCGATATATTATTGGTCACACTTTAGCACAAATATTATCCTTTACTTTGGTTTCAGCCATTGTTTTCAAGTTGTCATTCTGCCTTCAATGATTTCATTATATTGTATTGAGGTGGCTGCACTTTCAGTTCAGAAGCCCTACCAGTCAGCATGCTAGTGTCATTTAGAGTGACATGGTTGTTGACAGTTGTCAACAGCTGAAGTGTTAAATGCATGTCGTTATGCTGCATATCAGATTGTTTCAACATGCTGACAGATTTACATTGTGGGTTCAGTAATCTGATTTCATTAACAGACCATTATCATGAAACCTGTCAAACGTGGACATTTGAACAAACAGCCAAGGATGTTTGAAATAGCAACCATGGATATCTGCAGTGACTTTGGATTTGAGAACTGTTAACAAAAGTAAACATGGAATGTTAACATAAGTAAACATGGAATGTTAACAAAAGTAAACATGGAATGTTAACAAAAGTAAACATGGAATGTTAACAAAAGTAAACATGGAATGTTAACAAAAGTAAACATGGAATGTTAACAAAAGTAAACATGGAATGTTAACATAAGTAAACATGGAATGTTATCATGAGGTGACATGAACAGTTAACCTCTGTTTACTTTTGATAGCTGATATGTTGTTTCTGGTAATTAGTGTATGAGGTCCTGAAATGAAAACATGTACTGCTTACATCCTTGGACAAGTATTCTGTTAACATCCTTGTCTTGCTTTATGTTTACATCCTTGGCCATGTCTTCTGTTAACATCCTTGGTCATGCAAATCACCATCTCAGTTGATTCATGCAGTAAACATGCTTGGAAATGCAAAGAGTTTACATCATTGGACGTGGAAGCTTAAAACCTGAGACTCGTGAATTTTCACAACCCTTGAGCATGTGATGACTTTGAACAGATGTGTTTCCTGGACATCCAAGTGTATTGATGTTGCCAGCCATGAGTCCGTTACCCTGTACACCCAGGTGTATAGAAGTTCACACTTCAAGAAAGGGTAACAGTTTTGGATGCAGTCTGGTTCCATGAGTCATGCCTGCTGACAGCTTGACCAGTACAATCTGACCGGCATGTTTCTATGATAAACGTGCGTCGTGTCACAGCTTGACAAGTACAACCTGGCAGGCATGTTTCTAGGATGAACGTGCATCGTATCACAGCTTGACCAGTACAATCTGACCGGCATGTTTCTAGGATGAACGTGCATCGTGTCACAGCTTGACAAGTACAACCTGGCAGGCATGTTTCTAGGATAAACGTGCATCCTATCACAGCTTGACCAGTACAACCTGACCGGCATGTTTCTAGGATAAACATGCGTCGTGTCACAGCTTGAGGAGTTAGTTGTTGCAACTGTTAGTGCTAGATGTTGCTGTATATTGTATATGACCTGTTTCGCTAGAGGCACAGCGCTACTGTTGAATGTGTCGTTGTTGCTAGGGTTACATACATATTGTTGTTGCTGTTATATCAGTGTTATTTATGTAGGCAGGATCTAAACTGCAAGGGTTGGTACTCTCCTGGCTGATGTGTTCACAGTTACGTGTTATTCAGTTACTTACAAACTCACACCTAAAAGTCCAGTTTGCTTCGATGTCTCGTAATATCAACACTTGGATCTAGTGAAACCACATTAATTTTCAAACTCCTTTCAGTAGACGTATTGTTGAACTGTGGATACAAATATACTCATGGAAACAAATAAGGGAAAACATGAAATTACAAGTGTTCCTTTATTTATTTCCACATTTTCACCCACAGTGCAATATAAAGCATAGCAAGAAACACGGAAAAGAGGATAGGAACGCTTACACTTTTGTGTGTTCCTTTATTTGTTTCCATGAGGTATATTTTAATTATCGTTAATACTTTATCAAGGTTTCACTGGGGGAATCAATTTCTCAATGATCTATGACAGAAATATTCTACTACTAGTTTAAGAGACAACAAGAAGTTATAGTCTCGGTTCACCAGTTCTCCTTGTAAGAATAGACAGAATATACAATTTGAAGGATACCAAAGGGCGAATACAAACTCACAAATTTACTTTACAAACTAAACTCACAATCTGAGCTGGCTAACTGTAAAATGCTCACAGTTCAGAACAGTATCAACCAAATGTGGATTTAGTGGCCTGTAGCTGTGTATGTTGGTGGGAGAGCCATTTTTCCCCTGTAGAACCACGTACAGTGTATATATCATGTATAGTGTTGCCTTAATGTACAGTGCTTGTATGCATTGCTATAGTGGTGAGAACAGCAACTTTTTAACCTATCATCAACAATTATCATTTTAAAATGTGTCACAAACAGAAGTACTTCTTTTCTTTATAGATATATTCAGTACACCCTAACTTTTTTTGGTAACCAAAACGGTATCTCTGGAAGCGTCATGTTTTGGTGTTCCTAATCTCACAAAAGTATGTAAAAATGTACGTTTCATTGTTTTGCAACTTGCATTTCTCTTACATTCCTTTCACCTTTTTGTCTGTGTTTTGATTTTCATAAGCATATACATTGCCCTTGATTCATACTGATATATGAAAAATATATTCATGTTCAAATTTATTCAACCACAAAGTATTATGTACTGAGTGTGTTTCAGATGCAAATCAGGTGACTGTTATACTATCAATTAATTACCTATCTTGGATACACCGACATAAGAACTTATCAAAGGTGTTCTTTCACTCTTTGAGGCTCTTTTTCAGAATTATGTTTTCTGAATTACTATTTATGAAACCAGATTTAATATTTTTAGAATGAAGTATTTATTTTATGTTACTTTCCAGAAAACTTTAACAGTAATTTTTAAAGAATGTTTCCTTACATTTGCAGAATTTAGGTAGTCATTTTTGTGTAAGACAAGAAACTGTAGTGGGTCTGGCGTTACAGATGATTAAGAAGTATTACAAGTACACATTAATCAGTTGGTGATATCTGTGAAAAGAAGCACAGTTTTAAAGACAAGATGTTATATGTCAGTTGTGTATTCCCACTGCCAGACAGGGTGTTCTAGTCACTTTCTCACCCAGATTTAGGGTATGTATAAAAGCAAGCTTAGCCCATCATCTGGATATTTAGCCCTAATATTTAGACAATATCCACCAGCTGCTTCTCAATGTAAATGAAAGAATGAATCACTATTTGATCCATATGATGGACTGAGGCATCCAAATTTATTTGTTTTACAGCTAGCAAGTTTGAAAGTATATAATTGGGGTGTGTATGTTGTATCCAATTCAAAATCAAAATGTCTAACTTTCTGATCTTCTTTCCTTTCACTGGATGTCACCATGTACAATGTTTTTTGCTTTTGAAGAAATTCTGCCATTTTCAAGTTATCTTGTAGGATTCCTTGGAAAATCCATCAACACATGATATAAGGCTTGTTTTTTTAAAACAGGCATTTTAGGATATGGCATCTTCACTTGAAGATTGTCGAAAATGTTGAATTTCCCCTATTTTATCAAAATCCTGAGTTTATTTTTGTTTTCAATAACAGTATCTGATATCTGAATGGGAAGGACTTTGTAATCATAGATGCACATACAAACAAGGTGTTCAGTCTGTATACAATGACGAGTCTGATGTCATCTTATTTAATTCCATCTAAAGACTATATTTCCAATAATAGACATTTTTTTTGGTATGATTTTGGTTAGTGATAAAAAAAATTGGATCCTTAAAATTTGTTTGTTTATATATACTACCCATCAAAAGTTTAGACTCACTTAAAACATTCACTATATGTTATGTATGTATATATGGTTGCAACGGAGATGAATTTCTCCACTAACTTGGGGGAAACAGCTGCAAACCTTATGCAGATTAATTGCACAAGGATCATGCATCAAACTGCTTAAAAGTATATGCAAATATAGTGCATGTGAACAGCTGTGTTTTGATGTAAAGTTTTGATAAGAATTGCCATTTTTAACCGAGTTTCATCATTTATTGAACACATGACAATAATCTTTTCAACGTTATGAATTTGTTTTACAATACATCAGTTCATGTATAAACAGCACCTTCAAACAGTGTGGAATATTTGGTAAAATCTATTTAGAACAGTTGCCTGAAGTAAGTGGCTACATGTAGACTAGTGAGTCTAAACTTTTGATGGGGAGTATAGGATGGTTAATACAAATTTTGTGGGTTTTGTTTGGAATTTGTTTGAAATGTGACTGGAATGTCAGTTATAAATATTTACATTGGGAAACTAGACACTGCAGGATAAGAGCTATAAAATAACCTCTCTTTTGGGTTATATCTCAAACTATGAGCACACGTCATCAAGCATGTATTGCATGTCTGGGTCAGCCAGTGAAACTATCTGTTTTAGGTTTTGATTGTAACAAAAAGAAGATTTAAACTATAATTTTATTTCTTTTTAATTATGAAATAATAATAAATCCAATCCTGAAGGAAGGACCTGGTGAGCTCACTTCAGGTCTTCAATACCGACGTCATACAAGAGCTTATAATTCAAGTCTTACTAGGGCTAAAGTGGTTATTGAGGAACTGTATAACAAGACCTTACTATGACAGTCTTTCAAGAAAACTTAAGCAGAGCATAGACAAACACACCCAGCACCATTGGCCAAGGTTGCAACCCGTGCTGACCCCAACTCCCATTTAGGGGTATGCTATCTGAAGTCGCCATGTTTCAGAAAGTGCTCAGTTAAGAAATATTTAAATATATAATCAAATTTTTGCAACCTATAAATGTTTCTTTTATTCAAAGCATACGCAGCTGGTAGAAACATCTGTACTTCCCTAACATCTGATAAAACACCTGTACTGTCTCCATAAGGCCACAACACCATTTTCTATTAATGAATATGATTTTCTAGTTTTGGGATTCCCTAGTGTCAACAGTGTAGATACATCTAGTATCTAGATATCCCAATACTGCAATATTGTACAATGATGTGAATATTGTGCAATGATGTGAATATTTTATCTTGAGGTCATGCATGGATATGTGTACATAAAAGAAAGGATGCCGTTATGTTTGGGAAATGAACAGAAATTCTATTTTCTGATGGTATGTACGGTACATGAGTTCTTTAGCTTTTATTTTTATTTGACCGAAGTTTTGAAGTGTCATGCATCAATCCCTGTATTGTGCAAGCTTACTTTCGAGATATGTATCATACGGTTACAAACTGTACTGTTACATTTTAAACTGAAACCAGAACTAATTGGTGATGCTGCGTTTGAAATAATTGCTGGCCCGGAGGCCCAGCGCCGGTTATTATTGTTTCAGGCCGGCAGTTGCAAATATTTGCTGGCCCTTGTGGCCTTCAGTAAATTATCTGTCAATGTATTTTCTTCAACTGGAATCTTTCCCATATTGTTTTTCTTTATTAACGTTCGGGAATCATCCATGATCCATCATGTTACGATACTTACAGTTTCAGTTTCTGGTATTTCAGCGCTTTGCGAGTAGGAATGTCAACACCAGTCTTTAACAAATAAAAACTTTTCTCAGCCATAGGTTTCGCTAATTGAAACAGTGTAGTCTATTTTGTTTTTATTGGTTTGATTTTAACAAAATGGCCCTGCAGATTTCATTCAGAGCCTGTAGATTTTAAGGCCTTCAGGCGGCAGCAGGCCCTGATGGCTAACTGGCAAATCAAAGTATTGCAAACACTGTACTGATGCCCTTTCAGTGGTAGAAACTACAATGACAGGACATTTCTTCATTCTTCTAAGAAACCGTTTTGTCATTTCCCAGATTAAATTGCATCCCAATCCTAATTTTTGAATTCATTTTAAAGAAAACAAATTCATTTGTTATGGCTGAGTTAATTATATGTTTTGTTTTGAAATATGATTAAATGTACTATCGACGTCCAAGCATACCAAATATCATTATATGTCTGTTGAAACTTGTCAAATATACACATGTTTTATGTAAAATACAAAACTGTATTTGATTAGTTTTGATGCTATTCAAGTAGAAATGCTTCAGTCTTTCTTTTATCATGTATATATTATTTGTATATATTTTGATTTCACTATATGATTGAAATATTGCTGCTTCTGTTGCTTTGGGGTTTGGCACATGAAACATTGCTTTAATCAACTTGCTGCTTGGTTCTCATACAACACCAACATTCACTGTGAATCAGTCCCTTATCTTTCAATTCTAACCAGGCCTTTGTTAAACAAAGTGATCTTAACACCGACTATTGTAAGCCTGTGTTAGAATATAGGAGTTATGATTTTCTTAGCACCAAGGGGCGATGGGGTAGCCTAGTGGTTAAAGTGTTCGGTCGTCACTCCGAAGGCCCGGGTTTGTTTTCCCACATGGGTACAATGTGTGAAGCCCATTTCTGGTGTCCCCCACCGTGATGTTGCTGGAATATAGCTAAAAGTGGCGTAAGATCATACTCAGTCAGTCTTAGCACTAAGATCACTTTGGAGTCTTTGAACGGCATTTAGTAATGATACTGCAAAATGAGGAAGTTGACATTCACAAATTCTTGCCTTTAAGATCACTTTGTTGAATTGCGCCAAGTACAGTCATACTTGAATGTTGGAAAAATTACATTTGCTATGAGGCCATCAGGTTTTGGAGGGTTTACAGATCCTTGCTCTGAAAGTTTAGGAAATGTAAAAATATAGTAACCATACAGAATCAAATTGGGTGATAATGTCAATGTGTTATAGAAAATTGGGTGATAATGACAGTTTGTTATAGATAGAAATCCCTGTAGTTGTTTTGTTTGTTTATGATAGCCAGTTTCACTGACAGCTGACATAGAACTCTTTTTAGCAATATTGTTTTCATGTCAAAAGGACCAACCATTTTATATTTTCCTTGAAACAGAATCCTGGTGTTGGCACATGCTCTGGAGTAAAAGAAACCGTTAATTGAAAGAAGAAAGAAAAGGATTCTGTATTAAGGATAGCAGAAACAGTTGTTACACGTGTTAGAAAGAAAATTGTTCGTAAATATTTCACACAAAAATTCAATATAAATGGAGGGTCCCTTTGACTTATGTTGATGGTATGATACAATGAATAGTTGCTTTCTCCTGTTTGAAGTATTCATATGGCACACTATGCGTAGATACAGAGACATTGCAGTTACAAACCAGTAAGGGATTATGTCATTGTGTACACTGTAAGTTTGTTTTGGAATGTGGATTCTAGTAAGTACTTCAGTGGAGCTGGATCTACCCAGTGTCTAGACAGTCTGTGTGATATACTGCGGTACCAGCAATATAAACCAGTGTTGTCATAGAAAATTTCTAGGAAATAATTGCGGAGAGTAAAAAACGGAAATATTCAGAGCTGTTGCAAAATAAGATCGTTTCAATTTTATTTTCCATAAATAATCAGCCAAATCAGGTTCAAAAATGTTTAAAAGGGGATACATTTTATTTGAATGATTTGAAATTATTCTAAGAATAAACAAATCAATGAACATATTTTGTCATCATTCTTCAAAAGAGCAAGAGATTTTGAAACTGTTTAAGATGTAAGTTTTGTAGAAGATAATTGGATATCTTGATGTGATCTTTATGCAACAGCTCTGAATGTTCTTGCTCTGTGTTATGTATATAGAGCACTGATATAGCACACCTAGATTGTTGTAGTACAGAGTTATCTGATAGCAGTACGTTACCATGTAGCTGTCGGGTGTACACACTACTTACAAACATGATGACTGAATTAAAGTGAACACATTTGCCAAAACTGTGTTGAGTTATGTTTACTTTTTAGCCTCTGGCTGGACATTTGACATCAGTACTCTTGGATTAATGCTCACAATATCTGTCACTGACTTGCTTGGTCCAGGCTTGATTAGTTCCTGGCATCCATCATGCAGCTGGAATATTGCCGAGTGGGCGCATTATATGTATATTTTAAAATGCCAACCAATTTTGTCCTGGCAACTTCTCAGTAAGTACACCATAATTAGTCTAGTCAATTTTTTTGGTTATCTATTGCTCATTGATACCCTCAGGAGCTCAAAATTGGGATAAGAAACACATTGAATTGTTTAGGTGATCTCATGGACCAGGTGGTCTATTCTCAAGGTCCTACTTCGTGGAGGGGTGAGGTGAAATTGGGTTTAACGTTGTGCTTAAGAATATTTATGTATGTGTATGTGCGGCTGCTTGTACTAGTCCAAACTTAAGCTGGTTTTATAGTGCTAGCTTACTGAGATACCATGCTGCAGTGAAGCATGAATACCCCACTCAGACACAGTATACTGACTGAGCCGACCAGTCCTTGTTGTACCCATTAATGCCGAGCGCCAGGCAGGGACCAACAAGTACCATATTTTAACGTCTTTTGGTATGACGCAGTCGGGGATCGAACCCGCGACCTTCCGCTCTCACTATTGTTGAGTGTAGCGTTAAACATCAACAAACCTCTTGGAGCAGAAGCAGTTCAGGAGTGTTCCTGATCTAATGTGTGTTTAGGCTGTCAGAACTGAAGCGTTATAAACCCCAGGTTAGAACTGCTTCAGTTCCACAATAGGCAGACCAGTGCGTTAATGTCTGTTTCACCCATCTCCAGATTGATGTCAAGCTATTACATTGTCTTGTAGGACAAGATTATACATCAGTAAAGACAGGAATGAATGATGATTTATTAGAAAACAAACAGAACACACAAATGCCAAATTTAATAATCCATCAATGAACATAATTATGATAATAGGGTAATAATAACAAACAAGTTATTCAAAGACAAATTTCAGTCTTCATCATATGGCTGAAATTCATTAATATGGATTTGGTCATCTTCTTGTGTGAAATTAATAGATGCAGAAATCGGGATGCACTTCCTCCCAGCAGGAATCCCAGGAGAGCAGAGGCTTCCATATTGACATTAATTACAGTAGTGTACTGTAATCACTGTTCAGATTCATGATACTGGGGTACATGCATATTTGAGGGTGATTATTTTGGGCACAATAGTTAGTCCAATATTTTGGCCACACTTTGTGGAGGACCATAACCTTCTTAAAATTCAGATTCTTTTAGAAACATCTTTGAAACTTTTAGATTTTTGGATTATAAAAAAATGTTGAATCCGTGAAAACAATCTGTCATAATACCAGCGCAAGGGGTGAATTTTAAAATTTTCAAAGATGTACTGCCATTTACCTGTTGATCAGTGAATCAAAACATAAACGACCCCCTTATCTCATAATAGCATAGTTCATCTGTCATGCCATGACATTTGAAAGAATTGGATGGTCCTGAACTCATTCCTGTGGTATACATGTAGATTGGCTTTTAGAGACGACCTAATCATGAAAGACGAGGGTATACAGTCAGATCCTGACCATGTCATGAGTAACATATATCACACACACGATACCTTCTAATTATCTATCCGTTTAGACCTGGGTCAGAATTGGTCTTCAGTAACCCATGCTTGTCGTGAGAGGCGACTAATGGGATCGGGTGGTCAGACTCGCTGGCTTGGTTGACACATGTCATCGTATCCCAGTTGTGTAGATCGATGCTGGTGATCACTGGATTGTCTGGTTCAGACTAAAATATTTACAGACCGCCTCCATTATAGCTTTATAGCTCCTCCTTTAGTGGAGTGTTACAGATACCCGTGAAGAGAGGTCCAGTACATTGTTACATGATTACAAGGAGACAAATGACAGTTGTACATGTGCCGGGCCTAGCTACATACACACCAATATGAATCAGCTATACAAATCAGCTTTGAGTTTAGCTGCCATCTTTCAGAGGCAAGACAGTTAACTGCAGTAACCTTGTAAATGGCGTGGCGGCTTCACATCCACATATCACCATGGGTTCGTATCTATAGCTCAAATGTTTTATCTGGCTGCGTGCCCGCCCCCCGCCAGACATTCTTCTGTTGCAGGTTCGGACCTCTCTGGTCTGAAAACAAAACAAAACTGTTATAAAGCTGCCAATGATTTCCCACGACTTCTTAATATACAGAAGAAGAGGTGTATGTAAGGAATGGGTGTTTAGATGTTAAATGCTGCAGGTGAGTCAGGCAAAGAGGTACTTGCAGCGGAGCATTCTTGTGTTAGGTGTGTACGGAAAAACCACGGCTTGAATCTCAGAATTAGGGACCGTTTATAATTTATGACTAGGGGTGGGGTGGGGTGGTGGGTTCCATCCATTTTGTTCAGGGAGGTGGGGAGGTAGTCATCTATTTTGTACACACAAACAATGGTGGTGGGGGTGGGGGTGGGGTGGGGTTGTTGTTGTTGTTGTCAGCAATTTGGTACACAAAAACATGTTTAAATTTATTTTATGCTTAGAAAAGTCAAGTGCTTCAAAGTCAAGTGTTTCAAACAAAAATAATTAACATTAACAAGCCCGAAACCAATCTGCTATGTTTATACCTCTAATGATCAACCATTAATCCCTTTCTAAACGTGGAGTAGGTCGATCACTTAAAACTAGAAGCACACATACTAAGTCATGCTAAGCTTACCATCCTTGTATGCCTCGTACGGTTGCCTGCATAAGAAAAAGAAAACAAATTACTCACATAATGGGTTCAATAAACAAGAGAATGACTGTTTTGCTTGGCACTTAGCAATATTCCAGCTTTATGTCGTCGGTATATCAATAATAAGCGACATATAAGTAATCATAGTCTGGAGTAGCAACCCAGGGATTAATATTATGAACAAAGTCACACGAAGTTCGGTTACGATTGAATTCCGGAAAGGAATAAGCTGTAACTGACAAAGTGATCACGTGAATGTGTTCTGGCTGTGATTACTTTTAAATACTCAAGTATTTTTACTTTTGCACTGTCTAGAACACTGGTACCAATAAGTCAGGTAAGTTTGGTTTAAGGCGACTTAGTGAAGTATTCCATCTATATCACGACGTGTCAGCCTTAGTGAGAGAAAAGCTGGAAACGATGAAGGCCTCAGACGTGAACCACTTGGGTAAAACCTTCCACCACAACTGATCCATGACTTACACGAGACCACATTTAATGGACACTGGTGTAATCTGGGAAGACTACATATTGTTCAGTGCAAACTGAAATCTATCTGTTACGAAAACTAACCTAATATTAGTGACTGATGTGACACCATGTGGTGTCTATCGATTCAGATAGACTGCTAGACCAACATCTAGTCTCTGAAATGAACATATCTTACAGAAAAAACTGTTCATAAAAAATAATAAAATATAATAAAAAGGAGCCCGGAGACTTTCTTCATTTCCTGACACTGTGGAAATCTAGACTTGCCTCATATTCTAGACTTGCATGGGCTTTCTTGGATATATTTGTTTCAGGGTCTGTATGTCAGACTAAAAGACTGCAGGATCACAAAGAACCGATTCTACACTTACACTTCTCTCGGAGTGACCGGCTTCACGTTGTTTCTCTTTGGAGACTGTCGGATATTGCTGAAACGTTCAGAAGGGACACAGCTTCATTATGTGTTTGTAAAACCTAACCAGAGTTGATGTAGTTATCATATTGGCTTATAACGCATACAAAATATCACACCCGGTTAATTTCTACATCATATGTACATGTACTACATAAATTGTAATTTTGTCACAAGATCACCCCACAAATACTGTTAAAAATATCATGGCACCTATTGATTACGTAACCACTACAGGACCTCTATTTCACAATGAACCGACAGAGGACATGAGGATTAAAACAACCGAACACACGTATGCTCCCTCAGCGCCAAAGACATCATGGAATTAGATAGATGCAAAGGTATGCTTAAAATAGGGGCAATACAACGCCACAGGTCATCGAATCGATAACAGATGTTTGGATCAAATACCCGGAGACATGCTGGTGGTCGACAGCGTTCCAACAGGGGACTAGCTGCTTTTGATTGTATCAAGACGCCAACACGTCGTGACACCCACCCAGACATTATGGCAGTTGGGTTAACGTTTCGACTCAGACACTGCGTAATGGGCTCCTTGAAGCTGGTCTTTGGTCATAAAACACATGCATTCGCATCCCGCTGACCCTAAATCACAGACAGCCAAGTCAAGATTGGACAGAAGTACACATCAATTTGATAGACAAGGACTGATGAATCGAGATACTATTCTAAATTTCACAAATCGTCGAACCCCATATATCACGATTCAAACGTGTCCAAACACGATCGCTGTGGAGGGGCCTCAAGCATGATTTGGGATGTGATCCGTATAACAAGAAGCGATCCCTACTGTACGACAGTAGCGCACTGTGACATGTGTACGCTACAGAGGTGACATTCTGGAAGTGTACGCGGGACCGAATAGGTTTAATCGCACCGGACTTTATCCATATGGACGATAACGCACAACTCATCGTACGTGTGCCGCTGATGCATACTTAGAGCAGGAGACCAATGTCCGAGATGGCCAGTACTGAGCAGTGTGAGCACATGTGAAAAGTGCCACACATTGTCCTCTCACGACGCCTATCTTTCAGGAACTCGACAAATCTCTTACTGAAGAGAGGAACAATCTTCGCTTGGCATCCAGACACTTATTTGGAACATGGCACGGTAATGCCAGGCTGTGTTCGTGAAGTTTCAGATTTGGTCAGATACTCTCATTTTGACGGGTTATCTGAGTGATTATTGATTGCAGTGTGTTTGTTGGCACTGTGTTAATTAAACATGACTATCTAATCTTTGGCTATGCACACAATTTTACTGGTGATCCTTACGAAACTGTTTGTACTACGCATTCTGTTCACTGCGCATCAATTTCCAATCATAAACTTATTGAAAGTCATTCCGACACTAATATTGTGTCCTTGAAGTTGTTTGCTTGAAACCTGACAATCCTTCCTACTTCATTGTCAAATTGTGTCACATTTGAGGCGAGCACACATTACCTTGCCGCCATCTTGCCAGGTTAGACTGTACCAAAGTCAAGCGTTTTGTATTAATTTGAACAAAAATTGCACAGTAAACATAACCATTTTCAAACGACACCAGAACCAAAAACAATGCCACAATCAACTTACCCTCTGTTTTGACCTTGTCTGTTTTCAGGCTGAACTGGCTGCTTACTCTGTGAGGGTCTGAAGAACGAAAACGTATATGAATCACTGAACCTCTTGAATAAGTAAGTGACGTATTTCAACGTCGCTTTGAAAGTCACTATTTCTGTTAAATCGCGGCGTGCCAGAGTAGTTTCGGGGGGTAAAGATTTAAGTCATGCATGTCTCAGACGTTTAAATTATCACTTTGGTGAAACCCATGTGCACGGTATTGGTGCTGATAAAACCTAGAAACATGGTCGTGGCGGGATTCTAACCCACAATCATACGTCCAAGGGAGGCAACCCGGCACACAGCTAATTGCGGTGTCTTGGATGACTGGGGCACCTTTGTTCCCATGCATGCATCTCAGGACAGTGCAAAAATACAGTGTCTCGATTCCGACAGCGAAAAGGCTGAAGATCCCTCCGACGATTCTGTCAGTAATTGGTCATGTGCTATTTTCAGAATAAGTGTTGAGTTTAGTATAAGGAAACTTGTGTTTGACAGCATGAACAACAACCTGCCATCAGGGCAAGATGACACACAGCCAAGTCACGTCACACATAGTAACTTTCGATTGTCAACAGTCGATTCAAACCACAAGCACCGGTTCCTGGAGACAAAATTGCTGTGCAGTCTCTATTGGGGTTTCAGAATGAGGGATTATTTAAGTACGTCATATCAGAGAGAGACAGCTTAGTTTTGGACGAAATTAATGCCTGCCGTAGACGCAAATGGCGAGCACGAAAACCAAGGCATTAAGCATTGTAATGGCAAATCGTCCCGAAACAAGGGCGGTACAGACAACAAAAGTCCAGTCTAAACAGGTTAAAACCAGTTAACTCCCTTATCAGAATCATTTGGTTTTGCTTGGTTGTTGTTTTAAGCCGCACTCAGCATTATTCCAGCTATATGGCGGCGGTCTGTATATAGTCGAGTCTGGTCCAGACAATCCAGTGATCAACAGCATGAGCATCGATCTACGCAATTGGGATACGATGACATGTGTCAACCACGTCAGCGAGCATGACCACCTGATCCCGTCAGTCGCCTCTTACGACAAGCATGGGTTACTGAAGATCACTTCTAGCCCGGACCTTCACGGGTTCATCTTGAATCACGACTGACTGAGTTTGGTTTTACACCGCTTTTAGCAATATTCCAGCAACATCACGGCGGGGGACACCAGAAATGGGCTTCACACATTGTGCCCATGTGGGGATTCGAACCCGGGTCTTCGGCGTGACGAGCCAAAGCTTTAACCATTAGGCTACCCCACCGCCCCCATCATGAATCAAGTGACATAGGGGCGATGTTACCTTTTATGATTAAATTGGTAACTATTGAACTGAAGGTACAGGAGGTCAGTTATTTGACAGTATATTATACATGCATAAAAAGCTGAGATGAACAAAACCCGTGATCAGATCGCTGTCCCAACGCGGAATGTTGTCGAAATGTCTGGAGAGACTACCATTGCTTAAAGAAATGTCTCTTCAGACACAACAAATACATGAAATCTTTGATGTTATCTGAAAGCTTTTGGTTTTTTTGTTCTTTTTATGGAATGGGTCATAGTAATACTTTTCATGAAACTGACTGACTGAGTTTTGGTTTTACGCCGCTTTTAGCAATATTCCAGCAACATCACGGCGCAGGACACCAGAAATGGGCTTCACACATTGTACCCATGTGGGGATTCGAACCCGGGTCTTCGGCGTGACGAGCCAACGCTTTAACCACTAGGCTACCTCACCGCCCCTTTTCATGAAACACTTACCCTGAACTGAATCTTGGTGAGGAATTTCCTTTACAGCGCGGGACGACGTATCTGCTGATGAAGAAAGCGGCAGCCGCTATTCCGATACAACCCAATATACAAGCGGAGACAATCCACGGCATATTCCCAGTACCGTTGTCGCCATTGACGGCAGATGGGCCGACCAATCCACCGAAACCAGGTATTGTAGGAACGGGGGTAGTTGTTGTCGTCGGCAGAGGCGTTGTAGTTGTTCCCGTTGTTGTCGTTGCAGTTGTGGTTATAGAACAGAGGATCGAGGACACGAGTACTGGTGTGACAGGGCTTGTCAGAGGACCAGGAAACGTCCCTTTGTCTGAAGCCGTAACGTCGATGGTCGCTACCGTCCCAGCTGGTATGGACGCGTTGAGGATGACGTCGCAAGCGGGCAAAACGAAAAGGACGCCGGTTGTGCCTGCGTTGCATTCGACGACGTTGTTGTTGTTGTAAGCTGAGTCGACGCCATCAGCAGCAAAGATTTTTCCGATGTAGGTCCCGGCTGGAAAGCAGTCCTCGACCTGATACTGGTACAGACCCGATGGTGGGGCTGTGATTACAGGGGCGTTGTCGTTTTTGTCCAAGATGATGATCGTCACTGTTGTGTTATCCTTCCCCTTGTCTGTAAGAAACGAGAGGTGAGTTTTCGCGGGTTAGTGATTGAATGTGTGGGCGGATGGCTGACTGAATAGGTGATTGAGAGTTATTGATTGCGTTGGTCGTTGAGTGAGTGTTGGTAAATTATTTGGCGAGTGAGTGTTTTGGTGAGTGATTGCGTGGTTGAGTGTGTGAGTTGGTTTTTGGGTTAGGGTTTTGGTGAATTATTGGACGAGTGAGTGTTTTGGTGAGTGGTTGCGTTGTTTAGTGAGTGAGTTGGCCGTTGAGTGAATGTTTAGGTGATTTAGTGGGTGAGTGAGTGGATTGTTGGGTGGGTTAGTGTTGGCGAGTCGTATCGGCAGCAAATACTGATCGAGAACAGAGCAGGGCAACTTATCACATATGTTTTACAGAATGGTAGTTCAATGAAATCTGCCTATATTTATTTTATTATTTGACGTTTTCATTTCAGTTAATTTTTCGTTTTATGTATAAAGCCACACCAATACCCCAGCTTAGTCAGACAGGAGCGATTTTGGATTCTACCATTTTCATAGTATTACAGTTATGTCACTAGTATCAACTTCAAAACGTAACGACGAAAAGGCGTTAAAATATGGTACTTGTTGGTCCCTGACCGGCGCTCGGCATTAATGGGTACAACAAGGACTGGTCGGCTCGGAGTCAGTATAATGTGTCTGAATTGGGTATTCATGCTTCACTGCCGCGTGGTATCTCAGTGGGCTAGCACTATAAAACCAGCTTAAGTCTGGGCTAGTACAAGAACCCGCACATACACATACACACACTGACTGACTGACTGAGTTTAGTTTTACGCCGCTTTTAGCAATATTCCAGCAATATCACGGCGGGGGACACCAGAAATGGGCTTAACACATTGTGCCCACATACACACACGCATGCACGAGGTCATCTGAGCGAAATATTCTCAAGCACGACGTTAAAACCCACTTTCACCTCACCTCACCTCAAAACGTAACGAAATGCGTAGATGTTTGGGGGTCATTGCATTGGTTAAACCAACAACATGGTACTGACAAACCAATGGTCATAATTTGGGATTCGAACCAACAATCAGCAAACAGTTATACCGGTACATCCGTTTGTCACGAAGGACGTGTTGGTCTTACCTTTAACGTCTTCCAGCTGAATCAGTAGCACAACTGTTGTAACAGCTCCGGCAACGTCAACGTCGTAGTTAGTACATGTGATGACCCCACTGAAGGAGTCGATAAAGAAGAGGTTGCCTGTGTTTCCGCCGATGATGCTGTAGGTGGCTGTGTCACCGACGTCTTGATCCACGTAGGTGAAGTTAGGGTTCAAGGTAAACTTCACAAATATAAGACTTAGCATTACAAAATACTGTCGAATGCTAATGGTGTTATCGTTTATATATTTTCGATGTTCTCCAACAAGCCAGTCTACATAGGTAGATATTACACTGTCCTTTGATAATATAATATGATATGTTATGATATGAATTATAATACAATAATTGAAATACAAGAATTTCAGTACTTGAAAATGCCTCTTGTTTGTGAAATGATAGCAAAATCTTGCATTAGTGTCTTTGAACTGATCCTGATCACGTCTTTCTTGTTGATCACTGGGTTGTCTGGTCCAGACATATAGCTAGGATATTGCTGAGTGCAGAAAAAACTCACTCACTCACTTTCTTGTGTGTGCCAGGAGGACATGCCGGAGCTATGCATTTTTTGCGTTATTTGTAGTAGATACACTTCGTTTGTTATCGTCTAAAACAGCATATTACTGATAAAACGCCTGTAAGTGAGGACAGGAGTACTAGATTGAGTGAGTATGGTTATGCGCCGCTTTTAGCAATATTCCAGCAAAATCACAGCGGGGGACACCAGAAATGGGCTTCACACATTGTAGCCATATGGGGATTCGAACCCGGGTCTTCGGCGTGACGAGCCAACGCTTTAACCGCTAGGCTACCCCCACCGCCCCTCAACGAATCATGACGGGACTTTGTTCGACTAATACGAGTCATGTTAATGGATATCTACGAGGTTCCTATTTTATCGAGGTCTCTAACACCTAGACTCCCCGACTCGGGGTCGATTCCGCACATGGGCACAATGTATGAAGCCCCATTTCTGGTGTCCCCCGCCGTGATACTGCAGGAATATTGCTGAAGCGGCGTAAAATCATACTCACTCACACACCCCATCCTGGGTTTGATAGTTGTTGTATCTAGTGAATGTGGGTCAGTGGGTAGCTGGTTCACTATGTTGTTTAGGAGATGACCTACCGGACCTTCATACATTGAAGTGACGATGTCCCTGGGGCTGATGACCGGTGGGTCGTTGGCGTCGGCGACCTTGATGTAGAGGAAGAAGATGTCTGGAGTACAGAAACCGTTTGAAGGTATGATTGTAACATTGATGTTTCGGATCCCTCCCTCGTAGTCCAGCTGGCCTCTCAGACGCAGGGTAGACGTGCCCGCCACTGCATTGAAGATTGCGTTAGTATCAGTGCGTGTTTGGTACAACCTGGACCCTATTTCTCAAAACAATGTTTTTAATAAAATTATAAAACTGTGTATGAGAATTTGAAACAACTGAGTTTCTAACTGAGTCACAAATTTCTAAAACAAAAATACAAAAAAGACCTGGTCAATTCGAGTTACCTATCTACAAAAATCAAATTGTCTAGTAAATAAAACAGTATTTTTTGGGACATGTTTCTCTCAAGTTTGAGTAAAGACTTAAGTTTGTGTCGAGAAATCGGGACCAGGACACAACGTCGACAGAAGTCTTCAGATCATTGCAAATGTGTCGATGGTTGTCTATGCTTGGCGACATAGTTGTATTCGAGCTTTCACACATAGGCAACATGGTAAAACAGTAGAATCTGTAGCCATAGTCGTATTTGAAGAGTTAGTAGTATCAATGGTAGTAATTGCAGTCGTATTGAGTAAGTAATATTTGTAGATGAATAGAAGTAGTAACAACAGTAGAAGTAGTGGTAAAACAGTGGAATAAGTAGCAGCAGTATTAAAGTAGAAGTAGTAGTCGTAGGAGGAGGTAGAGGTGAAACAGTAATGTTGGTTGTAGTTGTTGTAGTAGTTGTAGTCGTGGTAGTAGCAGTGACTGTGGTGTAGTGTTGTTGCCTATGCTGTATGGGGAAAACAGCGGTGGGAGAAGCAGTAGTATTAATAGCAGCAGTAAACGCACCAGCAATAGTAGCAGAAACAGTAGCAATAGTAGCAGAAGCAGTAGCAATAGTAGCAGAAGCAGTAGCAATAGTAGCAGAAGCAGTAGCAGCGGTAGTAGAAGTAGTGATAGCAGATATAAGAACCAGGGCTCCAGACAATTTTTTCAACATCAGGAGTACGTACTCCATATTTTTTCACTACAGGAGTACTGGAAAACCTCAAGAGTACATTTAGAGTACTGAGTGGAATTTAATGGCGTATCAGTAATCTTGTGTTTCGTTTCATATATGCACCACAACATTGATAGTTTTGTGTAAACAGGTCAATAAACAATAAACCAATATTTTTTTCAGATAAATACGTCTGTAACTGATTTTAAGACCATACACCATTGCTGTGGTGCGTACCTGCTACGTTTTCTAAATTATTTGCTACCGTATCGTGCATATTTTGTATCCGTACATACGCCGATACGGCCCTTATCTGGAGCCCTGGGAACAGTGCAGTAGCGGTAACAGTAACTATAGAAGCAGCAGTAGGTAGTTCCATATTTCATGCAGTTTATAGTCTACAAAGCATTATATTATCGCATATCTACTGTATCAACTTACCGTTCACTGTAAACAGGAATGCTGCTATAGACGGAAACGTCTCTATAGTGTAGGTGGCTACAGGGTCGCTGACCGCCTGGATATTGCTTATTATGCTGTCGATTGCCGTATCTTCAGACACAGTCAACTCCTTATTAACCCCTGGGATATAGGGCACTCGGTAGTAGTCTGAAACCAGAGGATGATTGGCAGTAGAAACACATCCATGTTTGTGACGTATTACATTAACTGATATATCACGAGACACCCTCCTTGATAGTCAGGGACACTGAGGTCAACACAATGACGTGGAATGTAAGGTTAATGTCGTACCGATCAAGCAGATATCTCTGATACTAGCACGTGTATGTTGGCAACTGTTTAGTGCTACTAGCAATAACACAGGAGACAAACATTAACTCTTAGTACTGACTGACTGACTGAGTATGGTTTTACGCCGCTTTTAGCAATATTCCAGCAATATCATGGCGGGGGACACCAGAAATGGGCTTCACACATTGTACCCATGTGGGGATTCGAACCCGGGTCTTCGGCGTGACGAGCCAACGCTTTAACCACTGGACTACCCCACCGCCCCTTAACTCTTAGTAACAGCAACTACATGGATCATAAAAGGCATCATAATAGTTCTCATCCCCAAAACGCCATACTGAGGTGGGGCAACACGCAGTAGGTTGTGTAATGTCTCTGTATTTCGTCATAGTTTGCAGTTATTACCGGAGCAACACAAACACAAAGAGATGATAGGCATTCTACCCCTGCCATGTTGGACAATCCGTGTTCCCATATGACGTGACAGTTCCTCTGTGGATATACGGTTATATGGTTATACTATATTTGATAGCAACTATCAGCTAGAAGTAACAGTAAATGTTAGTCCCGAGGGCGGAAAGACTGTCTTTATAACTGCTGATAGCAAACACGTGGTAGTATCACGTAACATTACGGATGGATGTCTCAGGTATATTAGCCAATACAATCCTACACTTCAGCTCAAGCAGAATCAACAAATACACAAATATTCGGTCCAACTAATGACCAGTTAAAAACCCCATGTGAAGTCATACAGTACCTGAAAACTGTATGGTGACGACTTTCGGTCCAACGAGGACGTTTCTGTTGTCGTGTACGTAGATGAAGAACACAAGCGTTGGAAAACACTCCGAGGAAAGATCTGTAGTTGCTCGGATTATTCCGTCAGCTGGGACAACGTAACTTCATCATAAGTATTGTGTATGCAACAACAACTATAATAATAATAATAATGATAATCGTAAACGGATAAGCATTTAAATTGACTCTTAAACTAGCTGTTCGTTCCGGGTATTGTCATTAGTGTAATGTGGTTTACCTTTGCGTTCAAAACTGTTTCACCCATACAGAGACGTGCAAGCACGTACCAGTGTGGCTGTGTGCTTATTTCCTTAGAGCCGAGCGGCAGGCAGGATAACAACAAGCACCATCATTTAACGTCTAGTTGTATGATAACGTGCATAGTGGATAAAACCACCGAAATTCGTTATCTGGGCAGACACCTTCTCCACTAGACCACTGAGTGTGCGTTGCAAACCGAAACATGAGTCTCATTAACCTATTCAGACAATTACCTACTTTTCAGCCGATCCAAATTTTCTCGTGTGAAAGAGAAATCAGACATCATAAACAACTATGGTTACACTGAATTCCAATTCCTTGTTTCATAAGAAAGTGGTATATACGAATGAATTTGAATTTTAAACTTTAATAACATCGTATTTCTATATTTTATGGCGAGGTGTAGGCAGCATGATCTTAACTAAGACGTCACAGATTGACCCTGTTTTATGATGTAAAATGATTCACATCTGGCTCACTGGTTACACCTGTTATGTGTTTTGTGCGCTTATTCAGAGTAGTTTTGTAACGCACGATGTGATTGATATAATATCAATTCCGTACCAAACCGCAAAACATTTCTAGCGGCAGAGCCTCGTTTTGAGATTTCCACGATTTCCAGGTTTCCGTTTGTCAGAGCTCGCTGTAGGACAGAGCATGCTGCACGACGTGTTTGCAAGGATTAGAAGGAGCGTAGCGTTGCAATATACAAGTGCTTAGATGTATCAAATAATACTGATTAATATTTATGTATCCAGTTAAATGAATTGGTCTCAAAATTCTGGACTGGTTATTGTACTAAGTTGCGCAATAGGACGGAACCTAGTCAACAGGAAACGAGACTGTTGTATGGGCCTAATCAATGCTTTGACTTGCTCCTATTCAGACATTCGTCAGTTATGTAATATAGGAACATATGTAAGGAATATTATTCTCTTTGTTGTTTAACGCCACACTCAATATTCCAGCTATGTGGCGGTGGTATGTCAATAATCGAGTCTGGACCGTCAATCCTATGATCAGCATTATGAGCATGAATCTACGCAAACAGGATTCGATGACATGTGTCAACGAAGTCAGCGAACCTGACCACCCGATCCCACCAGTAGCCTCTTACGACAAGCATGGGTTACTGAAGAATTCTAACCCGGATCTTCGCGGAAGCAAGAAATATTAGAATGCACACACTTAGTCCAATCTCGTATTTGAATGTACTGGATTCTGGAAAGACGGTCATGTTGTAGAACACGGCATCTCCGTCAGGCTCCGTAACGCCAGTCTCAGTGTAGATGACAGCCCCATTTGTAGTAGTTTTGGCGTTGACGGTTGTCACTGTCACTGTAATGATTAAGATACAATTGACTGTTCTAACCTCGAACTATCATTATTCGAATACAATGCATATAAATTATATCATAATTCCGTTTGCAAGTTTAAATGCAATGCACAAAATGTTTTAGACACTAAATGCGTTTTGTTTACCATGCTTATAATCTAACGATGTTACTAATTTCGAAAATACTGGAAATACCATGTGTAGAATGAAAAGATTCCATTCTGGCGTGTTTGGTTGTCTCGCCATCGCAGTATATCTGGAATAGGTTATATGCAGTGGTAGAACAGGGAAATGGGACAGTTACAGTGATGGGTAGAGTGTAACATCGCTTTTAACAGTATTCCAGTTAAATCGCGCCGTGTCAGCTTAACCCTGAAGTGATACACGTCTCAAAAGTTGACCACTTTGATGAAACCCTCGGGTAGAGTGGTGACAAACCCAGAGACAGACCTAAATGTTCCGGAACTGGATTCGAACCCGAATTACAATACAACACTTACAAGAGTAGTGTGCGTCAAAACGTGTTAGTTGAAACAAGGGTTTTTTAGGTTTTTTTTCTAGATGCAAACTGAAAATTAATTTTGTACTTCTAGATGATATTAATATAAATACGTGAATATGATAAACTGTATGTGATTTTTGTTGGCTTGCGATAGGGAGGTAAACAGCTGAATTCAACTGCTTAGTATATTCCCACGTGTCTGTCAACATGATATTGTCAACACGCTCAGATTTGTAACATGTTTCCCTGTCGGGTGGTTATTCGCTCAGCTATTTCAGTTGTTTAGATTCTAATGGTGTGGAGATAAACAATGCAAGAACATTTAGTGAAACAACTCTGAAAAACAACCTAATACAGCAAACCCCCGTGAAACAGGACACCCTATAAAGGTGACTACTTTTAGTCTTAATGTTGAGAATTTGTTTCGTTCAGTTTAACATGAATACCCCTATCAGACACAGCAGATTGACTCCGAGTCGTAGGTTCATCCCCGTTGTGCCTAAAAGGGTACCGAAAAATACTTTTGGTGTGAAGGAGCCGGGATTCGAACCAGCGAACTCCATCTCACTGAAGAGATGCTCTGTCCACTGAAGTAAGGATTAAGAAAATACGCGTGAAACTGTTCTACCTACTTTAATCTTGTGTGTCAGGTACTGGCAAAATGTTCCAGTAACACGAGAACATACGTATAAACTAATTGCTTTCTCCTCCTCCCCCCCACCCTCCCAACACACCCCAAATAATCAGGGGTTTTTTCAGTCGTATTTCCAAAGACGTTTGGACTAGTGTAAAACTTGCCTGAAAATGTGTCAAACCTCGGCAGTTCGTTGGTCCTTACTCGTACGTTAATGACGGTGGAGAGGCTCGTCCCTGCTCCATCAGTGCACGTCACCGTGATGTCGTAGATGGGGACAAAGGCGTACGAAAGGTTCCCCTGACTCGGTAGGTAGAATAACTGAAAGTCTGAGAGTGAACAGCATACACATAAAAACCGAATGTAAAAATGGCACACCAGCGTGTATATGTTTTCTTATCTGGGAATGGAAGGAGAAATAAGACACACAATGAAGAAGGGGCTACTCACAAAGAGAGGCTTACAGATTAAGAGGGGCTACTCACTAAGAGAGGGTTACAGATTAAGAGGGGCTACTCACTAAGAGAGGCTTACAGATGAAGAGGGGCTACTCACAAAGAGAGGCTTACAGATTAAGAGGGGCTACTCACGAAGAGAGAGTTACAGATGAAGAGGGGCTACTCACGAAGAGGGAGTTACAGATTAAGAGGGGCTACTCACAAAGAGAGGGTTACAGATTAAGAGGGGCTACTCACGAAGAGAGGGTTACAGATTAAGAGGGGCTACTCACAAAGAGAGAGTTACAGATTAAGAGGGGCTTCTCACTAAGAGAGAGTTACAGATTAAGAGGGGCTACTCACAAAGAGAGAGTTACAGATTAAGAGGGGCTACTCACTAAGAGAGGGTTACAGATTAAGAGGGGCTACTCACAAAGAGAGGGTTACAGATTAAGAGGGGCTACTCACAAAGAGAGGCTTACAGATTAAGAGGGGCTACTCACGAAGAGAGAGTTACAGATTAAGAGGGGCTACTCACAAAGAGAGGGTTACAGATTAAGAGGGGCTACTCACTAAGAGAGGCTTACAGATTAAGAGGGGCTACTCACAAAGAGAGGCTTACAGATTAAGAGGGGCTACTCACTAAGAGAGGCTTACAGATTAAGAGGGGCTACTCACAAAGAGAGGGTTACAGATTAAGAGGGGCTACTCACGAAGAGGGAGTTACAGATTAAGAGGGGCTACTCACGAAGAGGGAGTTACAGATTAAGAGGGGCTACTCACGAAGAGGGAGTTACAGATTAAGAGGGGCTACTCACGAAGAGGGAGTTACAGATTAAGAGGGGCTACTCACGAAGAGGGAGTTACAGATTAAGAGGGGCTACTCACAAAGAGAGAGTTACAGATTAAGAGGGGCTACTCACGAAGAGAGAGTTACAGATTAAGAGGGGCTACTCACGAAGAGAGAGTTACAGATTAAGATGGGCTACTCACGAAGAGAGAGTTACAGATTAAGAGGGGCTACTCACGAAGAGAGAGTTACAGATTAAGAGGGGCTACTCACAAAGAGACAGTTACAGATTAAGAGGGGCTACTCACGAAGAGAGTTACAGATTAAGAGGGGCTACTCACGAAGAGAGAGTTACAGATTAAGAGGGGCTACTCACGAAGAGAGAGTTACAGATTAAGAGGGGCTACTCACTGAGAGACGGTGGAATCTTGTAGACAGCAAAGCACGTAGAACAAAGGGTGGTCGGCGTGATAGACTGTAAGAAGACTGTGATGGAAGCCGTGTGGGTACACACGATGTCCGTTAGGCTGACCCGGGAGGTCTCTTCTTCATACACATTGGCCACCAGGGGTACGTTGGTGATGGCCATTTGCTGAATAATATATATCATAATGGATGACATAGCGCCAATTTAAAAGAACAAGTTCTTATTGTGGAGTCCCTTTCTAATGATATATGCATGACATTGTGACACGACAAATGCAGTGCTCTTTATTTAAAACGTGGCAAGGTAATGAAAGATGGTTCGGTCAAGTTACAAGAATGAGGAGTAATTGAGCATCTCATGGAAGATCAGCTCTACACCTGTTTGGGAATTCAAGGTCGAGACAAGCTCCAGAATGCTCAGATTAAAGACAAACTTCGGACTGAGTATAAATCTCCTTTGGAGAAGTTGAAATGACAAAGCATGACATTCAGAGTCTTCACCACCTGACTAGAAGGATCTGACAACAGTGAGTGAGTGAGTTTAGTTTTACGCCGTTTTAGCACTATTCCAGCAATATCACGGCGGGGGACACCAGAAATGGTCTTGACACATTGTACCCATGAGGGGAATCGAACCCGGTTCTTAGTTCTGACAACAGAAGCCACCATCGTCGTTCCTCTCTTATTCGTTTATATACTAGTATATATGGCAATGAAATCAGGAGGTTTGGGTTTCATTAATGTGGAGGTACTTCATGAAGGTGTTTTACTCAGTAATATTCAGGAAAATATAAACATCGAGACTTGGCAAGACAAAGGAGGGGTTGATATCATAAGCATATTTCTGTGCCCTTAGAGCAGGTTTACAACCTGTATCGGAGCTGAACACCCGGTGCTCTGTAATCGTCCCTCATTGTAGTTGTTTGGTCTTGGACCTAGGGAATTCCCCCTGGGTAATAAATATACTCGCATTGGTAGTGGATTTGAACCAGGTAGGATAGTGTTATGTCCCCCTGTTAACCTTCTAGCGTTTCACGGACAGAACTAGCTATATACATCACAGGGAGCTGAAAGTTTTCTACATTATAATAAAATAAGCATTTATCGGAGCATAATTCATTGGTGTCAGATTATGTGATCTCTATCACGTATTATAAATAGTGTTAAATGAAGGATTATTGGTAAGACGGTTGGTTTGTTGTTTAACGCCGCGCTCAGCAATATTCCAGCTATATAGCGACGGTCTGTAAATAATCGAGTCTGGACCAGACAATCCAGTGATCAAAAGCATGAGCATCGATCTACGCACTTGGGATACGATGACATGTGTCAACCACGTCAGCGAGCCTGACCACCCGATCCCGTTAGTCGCCTCTGACGACAAGCATGGTCTACTGAAGACCAATTCTAAAACGGTTCTTCATGGGTCATACTCGCCAGTGTAGTACAAGACTATCAAAATGAGTGCATAATAAAACTGTTTACAAAACAAATACAAAACAATTTTTTTAAAAAGAAACTGAAAAGAAAGTCTGTGACATGAAACAATGTCAAATAACAATTTCATAAACTACAATGAAAGTCTGCAATAGTCATATGTAAACATTGAATTATAACGGTTATATCATACATACTCCACTGACGCCTTTCACAAGCACGGCACCAACAAGGAACAGTATCCACGAGGACAACATTCTGCTGACAATATCGCAGTGCCAGTTCCGAGTGTTTCTTTACATCTTTCTCCACCAGGAAGTATAAATATCGCTCAGATCATCCCGATTTCACAAGCCGACAAAATCCGACTGTGTCAAGTCGTAAATCCACTCTGGCAGCGGAGTATTTGTATCTAAATGTAGGTTCGTTTGGCAGATAGCGTTCCATTGATAAGTACATTGAATTCTTATTGCCTGTCAATGCTTACAAATGCGCCCCTTTCAGAGGGTAGATATTGAAGACACGGGTTCAGTAGTGTTAACAAAGATAGTCCTTTGACATTGGCATTCTTTCACATAGGAGATGGGAGTTGTATGATTTCAAATATTGCGAACCATTTGTATCTGTCATTCTTTTGCATGGCTGATCCTATCGCTTCAATGTAGGCTCTTTATTCGCATATTTAGATGATCCTGTTCAAAGGGTTATGTTTGAAAGTGGTTTATTATGATGCGTGGTTTGCACACTGGCTTTTAATATCAAAGTGTTGATATTCCACAGATATGAAAGTAGTTCGCAGATTGTCGAGGTGTTCTGGGGTCACCCTCTGTGTAACACAATACACGTAATTTAATGACGTCTTTGATCGTTCGATCACTGCTTTAAGTGTTTGATCAGGTATGCAAAAGAAAAGGCATTAAAACATTTAAGTCATCAGCAGTGTTTAAATGTTATTATTAAGTTAAATGACAAAGTGTAAACTGTTGGAGTTTATAACAGTTCATCAGCGCATCCAGGCAAACTTTGTTTTGTATGTGTGTATGTGTGTGTGTGTGTGTGTGTGTGTGTGTGTGTGTGTGTGTGTGTGTGTGTGTGTGTGTGTGTGTGTGTGTGTGTGTGTGTGTGTGTGTGTGTGTGTGTGTGTGTGTATGCATGCATGCATGTATGTAATGTTAATATAATAACATTTTAGTACTTTTTAATCCATTTCTTTTAGGTTTGCAGGATGCACTTTCTCTTCAGCACTGCACTTCCCATTTGGCTACCAGACGATAATACCCGGTCAGTGGAATAGTGTTCACGTGTATTTTGTTCCAAGTTCTTAGTTGCTCTTGAGAAGGAGGTTTTCAGCCATATTGCCATATCATGCCATTCAGCGATAGGTAAATGCCATCCGAACATAGGCACCCGCTTTAAGTGGCACAAATGTAATACATGCACTCGCTTAAGTATTGGACAGAACCAATACCCGAACGAATGCGGAGCCAAGTTTGCTGAAAGGACATAGGGTCATAGATCCAGTTCAAACGATCTCCGTCTACCAGCATGCTTACTCTAAGAAGGTTATAGATCATATTCAACGAGGCAATACAAGGCTTGATAGCCCAATACAACGGAGCTGTCTGGCTTTAGTCGTCGTTTTGATTGCGGTGAATAGGTCGTCATGACTAGGATCGAAAGTATGCGTTTACGTATTTCTGTCTGAATAAACGCAAGCGCAGGGAGGTCGCAAAACTAGTCGGATTTCCATCAACCTCCCGCGGACTTAAATAATGGCTAAGGACACGTGGCAACTCTAGCAAAATCGATTAAACACTACTAGCTTATGTTTTGTTATTTATATTAATCGGATCGTCGAGATTTGATGTCGGCAAACATTGAAGTAAATGGTTTCTGTTAATAAGGATGAATCAGAGAGCAACAAAATGTTGACACGTGTTACCCAAAATGGAAATACTTATATTAAGTTATGTTTAGTTACAGTGTGCATAATTACGCAAACGGTGAACACTAAAAGTAGCAAAACTAACAACCTTATAAGCTATATAAACCTGATACATTTTTGTATACGTAAAAGTGTATGACTCTCCTCTTGCGGGTACCCATAGCTGAATCAACCTGACTGACTGACTGACTGAGTATGGTTTTACGCCGTTTTAGCAATATTCCAGCAATATCACGGCGGGGAACACCAGAAATGGGCTTCACAAAGTGTACCCATGTGGGGAATCGAACCCGGGCCTTCGGCGTGACGAGCGAACGCTTTAACTACTAGGCTACCCCACCGCCCCGCTGAATCAACCTAATTGCTGAAGACGAAAGGGCCATATTGGACTCATATCTGGTTTTCCGAATCTATAATTAACGGAATATTGGTGGGCTAAAGTGAGTGACTGCTGTCTTACGCAGCATTGTCAATGTTGAATGTATTCACGCGACGCACTTCTATAGAGAGTGAGTGAGTCTGGTTTAGCGCCGTCTTGAAAAACATTGTTTTAGGTTTGGTTGTTGTTTTTCATACCCGTGAAGATCAGGGTTAGAATTGATCTTCAGCAACCAGTGCTTGTCGTTAGAGGAGACTAACGGGATCAGTCGGTCAGGCTCGCTGACATGGTTGACACATGTCATCGCATCCCAGTTGCGCAGTTCGATGCTCTTGCTGTTGATCACTTGATTGTCAGGTCCAGACTCGATTATTTAAAGACCACCACCATATAGTTGGACTATTGCTGGGTGCAGCGTTTACAAACAAACAAGTAATTACTGCTGGAGACATACATGCAGCCAGTCTGGCCAGAGCTTGATTCCCATCTTCATCACGTTACGGGCAGGTGAGGTGAGGTGAAATTGGGTTGAGAATATTTCGCTCATATGACGACGTGTTACGGGTAGGCATCATATATATACTTAAGAACCCTGACATGCTCGATGATAAATGAGCAATTCTGTCATTTACCAACAGAATATATGTTCGTAAATAGTACATATTACTTGTTAAATCATTATTTCTATCGTCATAATAAAAAAGAAATGCAGAATTCTGGTCTCTGTAATGCTGTTTACAGTGTGAATAATTGTGGTATCTGAATAGTTACACAAGAGTGGTATCTACAATGGCCGAGTAATAATGAGTATATGGCTAAAGTGGTATCTGTACACGTGATGTTTGTGTGTCGATCAACGTTTACAAAATACCAAACGTCCTGTGCGTACGTTCTCCGTTTGATTTTTGCAGTTTAGAAAGCAAGGTAGGTATAACGTCACAATAGCCATTCTTCAAACCCTGTCATAAACTGCCACACACCAAATGTAATATCACAACAGTAAACATGATGACTCTTCAGTACAAAATAAGACCATAAAATATTACCCCCGTACCCATAACATTGTGTACCCACACTCATGAGGGGTATTAAAATGCCTTCTTGCACTAACATCAATTGGTATCCTCGATCGACTTCACCCCTTACCTGTGAAGCACAATTCAATGACGTCAAATAACCTATACCTAATGAGCAGGCACTTTTCAGTGCCAGGTATAACATTGTGTCACTTTCCACTTACACTGATTTATGGCTGAAATGTACATAATATATGTGTCAATTTCTTTGAGGCGTTTGTCATATCCGATTGACAAAACACCAACAACGAACAGCTTTATATCCTTTACAGATATGTAACAGAGGAGTTGTATAGGTATGATTATAATCTTAATTCATCGGGTGC